TGAGCGTGATGGCATTTTTTTCTCTCTCTGGTTTCTTTATCCTGTTTTGAATCTCCCCTAACTGCAAATTAACATAAGGTTGAAAAGGAAGGTCTTCAGGCGTGATCTGAAATTGGAGCAGGAGGGGGCAAGGCAGAGGGATTGAGGGAGAGAATTGGAAAGTTTCAGGGCGCAGTGGCTGTTGGTGGAACGATTGGATGAGGGATAAGCAAGAGGCCAGAGCCAGCTGAGTGAAGTCAGTGGGTGGTGGTGTGGGGAGTAAACAGGTCGGAGAGGTAGGGAAAAGCCAGGCCATGAATAGATTTGTAGACAAATGTGAGACTTGCACAATGTCAAAGTACTGGAGGGAAACAATATTTGGTGAAATGAAATGTGATGGGTTTAAGTGCATATTTCAAATTTTTAAAGGAACAAGAAATAAATGTGAGAGTGACCATAGTTCTTTTTTCCTAAAGCAGAGAGAGACAAGATAGCGAGAATGCCAGGATATGAGAAAAGGGTCACTTATCAGACAGCAAGCCTTTTTGTGGATCCTGTCCAGGAGAAGAGAGGCTTTAAAATTGTGGTGACAGTTATGCTGTGAAATGTTTTAATGTATGTCACTCCCAGTCTGCATCCAGAGAGACCAGGCATACTTTTATGAAGAGTGTCCATCAGTGTTGATAGTAAGGAGCATTGATGTGGGTCACATCTGACTGCCGTGGAGAGTGCACTCTCAGAAGTGAATACCTTGGAACCACATGATAATAATAATAGTTACATATTTTAACTATTGATACTTTGAGAGTTATATATTGGAGAAGGTAATCGAGGGGTATGGGAGAAAGGATTAGGAGAGGTGGAGGATCATGTGAAGTCTGAACCCGTTGGGCCAAAGGGCCTGTTTCCATGCTGTAAAAATCTGTGCACGTAATCTCTCTCATCTGAATTTTAAATCAGTTGGAAATTATACAAAAATAGACGCTCTTTTATACCCTATTGTTAAAGTTGTTTAAATGGTAAGGCATGAAGTTATGAATAATAAATAGACTTCATGGTGCTGCAGTGATCCAAGTCCAATGAATTCTTACAGAATCTAAGCTGTGTTACATGCCAAACCTACCCTGGTATGATTCTTATATGTGTGAGTAATCAAAACTGAGCACCAATATCTGGTTACTTTGGCAGCTAATTTGAACAAACCTGGCTGTCAAATGTATTTGTTGAAATATTATTCTGTGTGATTCATTCAATCAAACTGGTTTAGTGAGCCTGCAGACTTTGTCTATAACAAGGTATGTAAAGTCTCAGCATGGTGGATATAGTAAGACTATGATCAAAATCAGTCCACTTTCATTTGGACAGTGCCTGCCATTTCCTTTTGACCCACTTTTTTCACATCATGAGAGATCACCTCTCTTGCAGTTTTTTTCAGTGGGAGGTTGACAAACTAAATCACAGACATCTCGATGACAGTTAGCCAATGTAGGTTAATATTCAGGTAATGTATTTAAGACAGGACTCCTCCGATCATTCTGTCTTGCAGCAATGAAATATTCCACCCTTGAAGCTCAACTTAAAATGTCACTTGGTGCAAGTGGATGGGTAGACTCAAGGCCACAGCTGACAGTTAGACCCACAACAGCACTTCAGCTGCTGTTAATTTAGAAAGGCAAGATGTTCGAATTCCTAATTATCTGCATTGGTGGCAAACTGTGACTTTTTCAAAGGATGTCATCAGTGAAGAGTATACCGGCTTGGCCTACTTAGACTTTAAAGATAGAATCAGACTAGAGTCTTTTAGATTGGGCTGGAATAGTGAACAGAACCGTTGCTACGTGTTATTCAAACCTTCAGGCTCTGTAGTCGGAAGCTGAAGCTCTGCACACACGGGCTCAGGTTAAGTTGAACACCCAATCCACAGAATAACCAAAACAATAGCATTTAATTCTGTGCAGGCAGGTTATGTCCACACCCTGGCTTGGGCAGCTCCTTCATTTTTAGCCAGTGACAATCTGCACCGTTCTTGATACAGATACATTATAACTCAATGGTTGGGATCTATAAAATCCTGCACTACCCTACGGTGAGTTCACGAGAGCTGGATTCAATAAAACGGCAGACTTCAGGCTCATCTAGTTCCTGCCAAAGTCAAGTCTGTCTGCCTGGCATGTGAAGAAAACGATGCTTGTGGTGATGTAATCAGGGCTATTTTGAATCTGGGAACTGGCCAGTGCGAAGGACTCAAGGATTTGTTCGCAGTGAATGGGGGTGCATTTATTCGTGTTATAAACGGTTCTGTAACAATGTGTTTTATAACGGCGCTGCTCTGTAGCTTCTTGCAACTGGACTTATAGATCTTGCCCTGGAAGAACCAGTTTAAAAGTGGTGGTGTGGATGAACCAGGTTTGATCAGTTTGCTACAGTGGCCTTCAGTTTACATTGGTAACTATTTCAGTGATAACTCGACACACTGATTTGACAACTAAGATATCTGTAGTCTGTGGCACTTTACTCTCTCTCTCAGCGCTCTGCCCTTTCACCTCATGCACCGATCATGGTAGAAATGACAGATTTCTACCATAGATCTATTGTTCCATGGTAGAAAAATAAATCTATATTTTTCTTTCAACCTCACTTTTTGGGAGGGGTATTTCTCTTTCCATTAATGCTGTCTCCATGTTGATGAGAGTAAAGTCATTTCACTTCCAGCTAACGTGATGTGGAATGGGAAGTGTGCGCTGTACTTCCCATTCTATTCCGCTTTCAGTTTACGGTCATCTATGGGAAAGTGAGTGTTGTTTCATACACTTTATATTTCTATTGCATTCTAGGTGCATGTTTGCAATGCTCCAGTGTGATTTCTGCTGCCTGAAACTCCATGTACTTTCAAAGTCATGCTGTTTTGCTGCCAAATGTGCAGGGCATACACTGTCATGAATGCAGCGATTTTCACTGTCTCCTTTTATTGTAAGCATGCATAAGTCACTACACTTAGCACCAGGTGGCATTACTGAAGTAAGAATGAAAGAGAACATAACATTTAGAGTGTTGTGGCTTTTTGTAATGATCTCCCTGTGATGGGGTGGAGAGAGAGAGAGAAAGAGACAGGCAGAGGGGATGAGCAAGCGAGTGAGACTGGAGAAAGGCACAGGGATAGGGAGAGATATGGGCTCGTAGTGATTTGTAGGTGTGTGTGAGGACCTTAACTGTCAATCTACAGGAAGCTAGTGGAGCCCGGTGAGTACAGACAATGTACAAAGCTTAATCCTGGTAAAAAGTGGCCAAATTTTGCATGAGTTGCATTTTGTGGGTGGGAAAGCTGGGATGGCTATTGAGGAGGACATTGGAAAAATCAAGTCTGGAGGTAGTGAAAAGATTTAGCTGCATTTAACGCTTCAGATCTCTGGGACATCCTCCCAACGTGAAAAGCACTCTATAAATGTAATTTTGTTGTTGTTAGGTGTACGTTAGTGGCTTGGCGGGTGATGGTTTGACAATTATTCTTGCAGTTCAATTAATTTACATGATCTATAATTTAGTCCATAATTCTTGCTAAATAATGCCCTGTCAAGTGTAGCCAGAAAAAGGTAGGGGAAAGATTGTATTCATTATTTCTATTCACATATATAAATATATTGTATTCTTTATAAAGTATATGAGGCAATTTCAAACATTGTTCAAAGGGATTTCGATAGATTCCACATGGCAATTCATTGCCAACAATGGGTGGAATTAAGGAGACACCTATGTTCTGTAGATTGTTCTGTATGGAAATTGGTCGGTAAATGTAATGCTTCAAGCAAACTGAATCCAAGTATCGAGTCAGCAGTCTCTGCTTAATTCACTGTGATTAAACCATCTGGTTCGTTGAAATGTTCTAAAATAACATAACCTTCAATAATTACAGATTTTATAAATATTACAGCTGTCTTTGCTTGCAGGATGGATAATTAGCAAAGGCTAAGTAACGGACTAAGTCTTTTTTATATCATCAATATTTCTAAATTAAGAAACCACAAGGAGCAGAAGATTAAATAGTGCCTTTTTTTGGTACAGGGTGACAGTTCTTGCCCTGAAGAAGTGCTAGATTCTCTTTGCTCAAATTAAATATTTATGACAGTGCCAGATGTTAATAGTTAAAATATTTGAAGTCTGTGATCTCAGAGAGAAATTATGCAAATATCTTTGATTGACATGAAATGTAGCTCTTTTACTGTGGTGAGCGAAAGGGGGGCGGGTGGGGGGGGGAAGAAAAAAGCATTGCAGAACTGAATCCCATTATGAAATTAATACATTGGAATGACTTTAGAGGAATAAAATCAAACATGAAAAAAATATGTTTTCCAATGTGCTGCCAGATGATTTCAGCTTATTGTATTTGAGGTTATGAATGTTTTCTTCTTTTATTAATAAAATGCACAATACACAGAAGCTGCGGAAACATAAAGGGGAACCAAAGTTTAGTGGTGTTAAATTTGCATTGCAGTAAACTTGCAAAATACTGCCAGTTTGCTGTCTTAAAAACAACTGCTATATACTTGTGACTTTCATCACTGCAAACATGAGAGATAGTGCTTCAAGCGCTGAAAGTTTGTGCAATTCATTGCGCTCCAGATGACCCCAATAGTGTTTTGAACATGTAACGAAGGAACGAACATGATAGTCTTATAAAGGAAGGTGAAGTCCAGGATAAAACGCGAAATGTGTTTTTTTTAATTTGAAAATATGGGAAATGTGTCATGACTTCTCGTGTAACAACAGTTGTGAGAATGTTGTGTGTAATCTTTCCACTGTCAACATTTTGGTTCTGGTTACTTTATGGAGTCCCGTTTGACCTGTAATAATTTCTACGATTTTGACAAAAGTTTGAGAAAAAGGGACAATTTCAGCCATTTACCAATGTTCAACAAAATCAATAATTGTATAGTACATCCAACTTTGTGCAAACCTGTGTAATTAACATTACTGTGTAACTATGACCATGTAACTAATAACTATTCTTTTTATTATTGCATCAGTTGGGATGACAGCAGTTCAGTCAGCAGTGGCCTGAGTGACACCCTTGACAACCTTAGTACCGATGACCTGAATACAACCTCATCTGTCAGTTCTTATTCCAACATTACTGCCTCTTCCAGAAAGAACACGAGATCTCAGGTACATGTCTCAAATGAAACTTTATCTCTGCTGATGCCATCTGACTTCTCTCCAGGCGTGTAGGAAAAAAGGAAGAGAATTTTTCAAAATAATAAATAGGCCACAGTGAATTTTATCGATTTTCAATATTCATTTTGAGTCATTTTAGATGCAACGTTAACTGCTCTTGTGTAGAATTAAGTGGGAGACTTTTACTTTTCATTTACAATTAGTGCCTTTTAACATCATAGAGATTGGTCCCAGCGTGACAAAATGCCTGTGCATGATGAGATTAAATGGCAAGTTAAAAAAAATTGCGAGCTCAAGATGCTTATTTAATCATTTTGCCCGGTAATTGTGGAAATGTACAGAATTGTCTTAGAAAGGGATACTGTGGGAGACAGAGCAGGTGGTTCCAAGGTACATAATCATCTTCATCTGGTTAAAATATCCTTTTCTTTTTACTGAGTACATCTTGCGCTTTCCTATTCTACTCCTTTTATATGTCAGCTGCAATAATAATGAGCATACATCTCATCTCGCAAGGTGTCTGCCTCTCACCATCTTCTTTGTGATATACCATTCCCTGACCAAGAGTAGCACCAGGGCACCTGTACCTAGGACTGTGACAATCCTGTGATAAATTGGGTACTCTAATGTGGATGGGAGCAGGGAAGCATTTCACGTTCTTCCATTTACAATGTAAAATAGAAAAGTAAAAATACAGAAATACACAGAAAGGCAGAGGAATCTTTTTGTCTTCAAGCACTGAAGGCAGGTTCATGTATCTGACTTGTGCTGTTGGATTGCCTCGACTGTTTGCCATGCTGGATTCATTCCTTTACGTCAGCGTTTAACCTGATGGAGTTTGGGACGACAGCGTTTTAAATTTATTCTCATGCAAATTAGCATTAGGGCTGAAACAAATGACCACTTCTAATAATGCATTAGACAGAACTCATTAATTAGAAATTAATAGGCTTTAGTTGATTTTTCATTGCAAGGAATATACTTTTACGTTTTTAAGTGAAGTTGGCTGTACTTGCAGAAAGAGGTTCTTCTTAGTAATTTTGCAATGGTAAAAGGCTATTCAACCCATTTAAAATGGAAATAGAATACCTCTCAAATGGGAAACAATTCTCCGGGGGAGGGGAGGGGGGTAAAGAAAGAACCACACTTTATTGACTAAAATGTGAACTAAAAAATGTAAAAAGCTTCAAGCATTGCGATGGAATTCATTCGCCTATTATACAAATTAAATTAAATTCTATCAACATTGGTCATGTTGCATATTTTTGCATAAAATGAAACTGTATTAACATGAAACATTATCTACTGGATTTTTGGTAGGATGTGGGGTGGCACTGGTTGACGTAGTGAGTTTTGACATTTAGTTTTACCCCTGGGAGATGGTTTGAAATCAAGCCACTCTGAGGAATGAAAATGTTCTTTTGTCAGTTGTGTTACACATGGGCACACATAATCTAATTTCCAGTGAGCGTGAGACTACAGAACTTAATAGTTCTGCATTCTATAACTGACATGAAATGCTTGATGCAAACGTGAGGTAGAGAATAGGAAGATATGTTCTATTCCTAGCGCTGACTTTGATGCTCTCACACCATATATTTCTCCCATCCTCACAATCACTCCAAACAGAGGGAAACTAATTCTGTTTGATGCTTTTGTCAGCAGCAGAAAACCAGTGCAGAGAAGCACTCAGTGACAGAAAATGAAACTGCCTGGAATAGCGGTGAGGAACTGAGGAGAGCTGAAGAGGGACTGGACACCCTGAAGATGGAATCAACTGATAAATGGAAGCGGAATCCCTCGGATTTGTCGGACGATTCAGAGAAGGGAGGGCAAAAGTCCTCTTTACCCTTGTCGCAGACAGGATCGTGGAGACGTGGTATGACAGCACAAGTAGGGGTGACGTCATCTCGGAACAAAACAAGAACAAGTACGTTAAAAACTTTTGGTAAGAGTAATATAAAAAGTTTGTCAAGTTTTGCAACACAGCAATCACGAAAATCTCTTCCAGCTAGAACCACTGCATGGTAAATAGCTAGAGATGAGCTATTAATTGAGACAGATGCTGCATGATTTTAATCCTTTACTGGGGAAATTGCTGAGACTGGTTAAGGTCAGACAGTTTTAAGACCAATGGTGCTAATTGCCTAATAATTCTACCATTGATTAACTCATCTTTTTCCCCAAAGGTTCATTTTTATTTGAATCTAGAGCCAGCTGCGACACTGTTGTTATGTTCCCATTATTTCTTTACCATGTGGTGATATTACAGTGTGCTAAATGTTAAAGGCATGCGTGCTTACAATGCATTAATTACGGTAAACGTAGATGTCATTATGTTCCAGGAAAAACAGATGATGTAAAAGGTTCCGATAAAGGAAAGATGTCTCCCAAAGGCACATCTGCCCAACCTTCTCCATCAGAAGCGGGGAGAAGCAGTGGAGATGAGGGAAAGAAGCCCCCTTCAGGCATTGCAAGACCACCGACCACAGGCTCCTTTGGATTTAAGAAGGCTGCCGTTAGCTCGTCTACTGTCATAACAGCCAGTGGAGCCACTGTGACCAGTGGATCAGCTACTTTAGGAAAAATACCCAAATCTTCTGGGATCCCCAGTAAATCTGCCGCTGCAAGAAAGACAAGTCTGGATGGTTCCCAGAACCAGGAGGACGGGATTTTGTTGGTAAGCTCCAGGACCAATCTGCAGTACCGCAGTTTGCCACGGCCGGCAAAATCGAGCACCAGCAACATTGCCAGCAGAGGTGGACATAGATCGAGTACGAGCAGCATCGATTCCAATGTTAGCAGCAAGTCAACCGGTGCGACTGGCTCTAAACTGAGAGAACCAACCAAGGTGGGTTCCGGGCGCTGTAGCCCTGTCGGTGTAAGTCAGACTGACAAAGAAAGGGAAAAAGTGGTGGTATCTGACCCTGAAAGTATGTCACTGTCAAGTTCTCCAAAATCCAGTCCCACCTCAGTGAACAGCAGTGGAACACCAGGACTGCGACAGCAAGGTTCAAAATATCCTGACATCTCTTCTCCGACATTCCGCAGGTTAGTGACGCTAATTGAAATAATGTGTGTCGATGGCCCATTAGGCAGGTTTTTATTGAGAATTGGCATCCAAACCGGATGATCCAAGGCTTCAGTCCGAGAGCTGCCTACTGAAAGGTCAAAGCCTTCACAGCAGCCGACTTCTCTTCCAGCTAAGGGGGACAATGATGGGAACAATTAGAAATTATATTGTAATGAACAGGCCTGATCCAGAATGTTAAGCAACTAGACTTATTCCTTCATCACATCACCCTGAAACATTTAGATGGATGTTTGTCATCTGCATACATTGCTTTAATGGCTATTCCATTGTGAATAAATTATTTGTCACCAGCAAAGGAATGCTCACAGTTTCATCCTCGAGAATTATGTGGGACAGTATTTAACAGCTGTCCATTTACCCCTGGTACCTGACTAATCCTGACTGATGAAACCCTGCCCAGATTGATAATTTGAAGGCCTCTCTGGCAAATGTAAGGTCCATGAAGTGAAATAATAATAATCCTTGCATTTGATATAGTGCCTTATCACGTGTTCGAGACATCTCAAAGCGCTTCACAGAATATACTGTACAGTTAATTGACTATATATTTTGTGGGCAAAACAGGGTAGCCGATTGCGCACAGCAATGTCCCACAAATAGTTGTGGATTGAGTGACTAAATTATTATTATTATTATTAACAAAAAGTGAGTCTTGTCAGTCCCTCTCAGACCTAGCGATCTGGAATACACAGCACAAACCTATCTGTAACCTAGCGCATTATTTGCATTTTGTTTTACTCAGTGAAGTCATAAGAATGGCTTTGTGGGAAATTGAAGTGCTAGCTATACGGTGTGTTGCTCTGAGCTTGGTTTATTTAAAGTATCTTGTTAAGATCAGAGTAAAATAATCTTTACTCTGCAGCAAACTGGGCTATATCTGACCTATAAAGGCAAATATAAGATAAATATTACCCTTCCCTCCCAGAAGTTGCACCCCTTGCACAATAACAAAATGTATCTAGAAGTCAGAAAAATGAACATATCCATTACTTGAACCGAACTCTTTTCTCTTGTCCTGTCCAAAGAATTTATACAGTAAATTCTCTAATCTGTATTAAAGCATGTGCCTTATAAGGAAAAATGATCATCTATTCACACATCCTTCAACGATAATAATAATAACCCTTGCATTTGGTATAGCACTTTATCACGTTGTTGAGATGTGTCCAAGCGCTTCACAATATATTGTAAAGTGAATTGACTATATCTTGTGGACGTATTTTGTGTACGATCTTGTGATATCGATTTTTTATTTAACAACAAGATTACATTTGTATAGCGCCTTTCACGTCGGGAGGACGTCCCAAGGCGCTGGAAAATGATTGAAAAGATACATTGTCCCTAATTCATTTTGGGATAAAGAATTGAATTTGCGAGCGTTTGCTTCTGAAACATCTTGATTTATTTTTGTGTGGAAGACAACTTGTCACAACTTGAGACATCTACTCAAATATGTGTCGAATCTTATTTTGTGTTTCAGATTATTTGGCACGAAACAAAGTGGAAAGCCTGGCTCTGTGCCCAGTGCAGACACAGTGAAGAATTCAACGGTCATCTTGAATCCTCACGCTTCACTGGTTCGACAGGGCAGCTTGGAATCTCCTTCTTCTGGGGCATGCAGCATTGCAAGTGGACAAATCAGTAGTGGGGGTAGCAGCTCGCTGTGCTCCAAACCTTCCGAACTGCCAACAGAGGGAAATAGCCTGAGTCAGTCTCTCGCTTCCAGCCCAGCCTCAATACACTCTTTGACCTCCAGTGGCCACCAAAGGACAGCAAGTCTCAGCAGCTCACCTGGGGGAAGCAAGGACACCCTGAGTTATCCCTCTCTGACGAGTCCTCACACCAGCTCGGAGTCCATCGACCTCCCGCTCAGCCATCACGGCTCTTTATCCGGACTAACCTCAACACCCAAAGGAGATGTGCAGAGTCTGTTAATGAGAACTGGCAGTGTCAAGTCTACACTCTCTGAAAGGTGAGTGAGGTCCAGGTATACAAGAGCGATTCACAATCCAAATGCACAGATGCCAATAAGCCGTGAAGCATTTCTTATAAATGATGTGGATTCTAGTGAAACGCTGCACATCATTTTTTCAATCACTAAAGTATATTTTGCATCATTTACAACTCGGCAAATTTCTTCTTAAATTCAAGAATATCCAATGTAGATGAGAAACCGCATCTGAATGACAAATCAACCTTAAGTGGCAAATGATCCTTAGTGTAGTGTTACATAATATTGTGTAGAACGATTCTGTAAATGCAAAGCTGGGTTTTAAATCACATTTGTGTTTTTTAGGAAGTGCTTTTATCTCATTAAGTATCATTTCATATCTCTAGATAGAGGATAAATGCCCGAGACCGGTAGTTTACTACAAAATATATTATCCCTTGTGAGTATCAGACTTGTGAGATACTCAGTGATGCAGTGGGACCTGGGGGTCATACAGTATTATAATCAGTTCTTCCAGATAATCGAGTCAGGGACTGTGCGTTGCAGAATAAAAGTTTCCTACTACCGTATTTACCTGAAATAATTGAGTCCTAATACTTCATAAGTAGTCTGTCTTTCTCAAATCCTTGGTTGATTTTCACTGGAACACAACCTTTGAATTCAATACCCAGAATCCAGATGTCAAGTACCAGATGGTGGTGGTCGTATGTTCAGCGAAATCATTTTGCAATATTTCAGGCGATGGAAAAATCAAAGAATGTGAAAAACAAGGGAAGTCACAAGGGGAAATGTAGTCGGAGCCTGAAGAAATTCCCTCTGGGAGGAAGCTCAATAGATTGTATGTTACAGTGAGGTAGTCTGCAAAGGCAGAGCTCTCCATGTCATCTGCAGCATTGCAGTTTCCCTGACAGTGAAAGTCAAGACATAGCATTGTTTCAGGATTGCTGGGTTCTCTAAAATTACCTTAAAAAAATTGTTTTGAGACACATAATATGCCATTCAGTTTGACGTGCGTACTGTTCACTGAGCAATAGAGGCTAACGGCAGCATTAAATTGACAGAACTGACTACTTCAGTTGCCTGAATCATATGTAATTATTGTTTTTATTATTAATTTAATCTTTTGCAGTGCTGAAGTTTCTTTTCGTGTGTTTTTCAAGCTGAGACATGTCAGTGCTGGGGAATGGAACATTTTCTAATTTCATTACCCATTATCAGCACTTACAGATCATGTAGTAATATGGTTACACACAGAGGAAAGCTCCTTCTGCTGTGTCTTAACATGAGGTCTCAGAAGAGTAACCCCCCCTCCCACCCCTCTCCCTTTCCTCTGCTACATCATTGCAAATTGTCCACAGTCACACAGCCATTCTTGTGAGCTTTGAGTGAGATTGCCAGTCGTTGTTGTGTTATGCTACAATCTTAAACTTGTAATGAGCTGAAACTGTCTGAGCTCATTTGAATCACGTGTCGTAAAGAAAAAGAGGAGCAAGTTAGTCCATCTGTCTGGGTTGAAGGTGAAAATCGACAAACCCTTTTGTCCCCAGTCCCACCCCACTCCCCCTCCTCACCCCCTCAAGCTTAGCTTCACATTAATATTCAAAGAGAGAACAGATACTCACTTTTGAAAGTTCAGCATAGTATATTTGAAAAGCAGCCCAACAAAATAGCATATATGTCACTGCAATGAATTGTACTGTGAAATGAAAGATGGGACGCAATCCCCAGCCTCAGGTCAGAGGATGAACAAAGATGTTGATCTGAATTGGCTCTAAGGTAATGAGCTTGGCAACGAATTGTTGAATGGAGTCAAACCTCTCTGGTGGTCTCAGTAGTTCGGTTTGTGAACCAGGCAGGTTAGCAGTCAGTACTCTAGGGCATTGCTGATGACAGATCAGTTAGCCTGGCTGGCTTATTGACAGGACTTGGAGCAGCAGACCAGTCACTGGAGGCAGGATTTTTTTTTCACTTAACTCGTGTTAACACTCGAAGATGAAGTCTTAACAGAGTCTTAGGATGGCTGTGACTGGACATGCAGCTGGAGGTTTGCCAGTCAGTGTTTTCAATGCTGAGCTGTGTAGTTTTAGCTGGTTAAACTCCAGCAGCACCCCAATACACAATTTGGGGTCCCCAAACCTTGGCTCTTGCCAACCTGTGCCTAATACCGTAAACAGGGTGAAACCTTGCGGGGAGAAAGTATGCATTCCATTCCTGACACGAAAATATCCATGTATAGATGGGATGCATGGATCTCTCAGTCTGGTTTGGATTCTCTTAAGCATGGTGGTGGGTTTCTGCATGTCATACATCCTGCTTGACCAAAAAGGAAAATGGAATGCTTCTGGATGGAGGGCAAGGCCACCTACACATTAATTGAATGCTTCCAAGCTCCCTGCTGAAGAGTTGAAGAGCATGCCTTATTTATCTCATAATCATCAAAATATTTTGCTTTAATATTTTAAGTGGAGTGTCTTTAGTAGAACGTGGTGGCATTGAGTCATCAATAACTGGCTTATAACATCAGTACAAACACAATCCTTTGTGAATAATAATAAAAAAATGTGACATTTAATAATAATAATAATCCTTTCTCTGTTATAGCGCCTTATCACGTCTTCGAGAAATCTCAAAGAGCTTCACAGAATATACTGTAAAGTGAATTGACTGTACATTTTGTGGGCGAAATGTGACACTTGGTGGAACACAATTGGGGAGAAGTTCTTAAAAGAACTTACAGAAAAACGGCTTAATGTTAAGCCTGTATTTATATTATATTATTATTTATCTAAGAACTTGCCAAATTCTGGATGCTCTGAAATGCTACATAACTAGAATAATTCTTGAGTTGACCCAAGTGGAATTTGTCCGCAAGTGCTCTCATCAGTGCAAACCCTCATTTGAAGCAGTAACTGTCACAAAATATTTCAATGCATTTCACAGCCTCAGGTATTCTCCCAGTGTTTGAAAAAAAAAGGCAAAGATGTTCAAGAGAATGTGACATTTCTTATTCATAAGACAATTGATCATTACATTTTTGGAGATGTTAACTTTGTTTCCCATTTTTGTTCCCCCCACCTTTCTGTCTGTGACTATTTTTCTATCATCTGTCATCTTCACTATTAGTCCTCTTTCTTTTCATTGTACTAGTCTTCACTATGGCAGAAACACCTATCCAAGGAAACAAAGCAGGTAATCGACCTCCTGGTTCCTATTCAGAATTACACACAAGCAGAATCTGCGAGAAGGTCACGAAAGGAGATTAAAATGTGATCCATTTGCTTCACTTTCTAAAAACTCGCTCAGAAAATGGCATGACTAATTATTTTAAAAGAATGCTTGTTCGTATCTGTAATGCATTTGACATCTAACTAAAATAATAATATAATTAGCCTTATAATATTTTACGCATTCTCTCTTGAAGCTTTTAAATTACTATCGAGATCACGATAAGTGTTATGTGCACTTAGTGGAGTGAAAAGTTGTATTTGTAGATTTATTGTTTTTACAATTTTAACCAGGATAAGCTGTTTTTTTTAAATGGCTATCAATTTTGTGAATAGTATCTAGTATGTTTTACTGTCGTCCATCTTATCCTAATCATGACGTCCACAAAAATGTTTAGCTTATGCTGATGACAAGAAATTATTGCTGTGAAAAAGCAGATTCCTTTCAGACCCTGCACTTTTAATAAGATTGCTTTGCGGCAATAACTACCTGTTAGTTTCCTTTGGAAGCATCCTGTCTTTCGCCAGTTGATTAGTGGCTGCCGTGAAGCTGTTTTATTCATTTTTTGACCATCTGCATTTTCTTTCTTGACCGTGTCTGTTACATGTTCCATTTGTTGTGATTGTCTCTTTCACTTTAAGTAATAACGATCGATCTCTTGGATCAAAAATCGAGATGAATGTCTCATTTCACCCCAAGCGCTGCACGGTGGTATTAAGTGCACCTCAGCGTTCAAAAGCGGACTCAAAATCAATCCACCAGTTTCAAAGAGTGAAAGAGATCTTGCAACATAGTTGTGCTCTGGGGAAAATAACTTGTTCTCAGCTCACAGGACCTCATGTGGGTCGACTGCAGTCTGCAAACCCTAGTTAACAACTCCACACACCATCTCACTCATTAAGCACAATCCATTTTTTTCCCCCAGAACCTAGCCACAAAACTGTCTTTGCACTATTTTGCTTGTCTAACCTTAAAGCAATCAATCTTGTTTAGGCTCGTGTCATGAAGCCCAATGTGCCTCTTATTTTTGCTGTTCTTTTCACCTCAAGTCTACATGGATTCCTTTGAAATACTCAGTCAGCACTAACCAAGCATGTGTTGCCCTGAATGAAAATGTAACCTTTATGCACTGAATAATTAATCTTTGCTTTTTAAGGTTGATGGCTCTTACATAACTAGCAATTGTATTATTACTACTTGTGTGCTGTTGGTGATTTTTCTTTGTTTTAACAGTGTGCAGCTTGACAGAAACACATTACCTAAAAAGGGACTAAGGTAGAGATGATTTAATATAATTCATTAATTGGATTTGAGAATTGGAAGTGTGCGATGTGCATTTATATCTCTTGATACTGTATTTTGCATTTGTGTGCTTGTGTTATTTGTGTGTGCTGTTGACTGTTGTGCTTTTGAATTTATATTGTGACACAAAGAACACTTTCAGGACAGCTCAGCCCTGTTCATGTCATCGAAAGATAAAAGGTTATTTTCAATGTCTTTGTGTCCATCTCAGCAAAGCCATTAGTTACAGAGACTCCATTGCCCAAAAGTGACCCAACGTAACAACGTACAGTGTAAATTTGGCTGTTTTGGAGATTATTAGCAAAGATAAAGGTTTGTCTTAATTTAAACCTGATCTATTTAGGTTTAACAGTGCACATTCAGAAGAGATATATATTTGAAGCCATAATTTCTAGCACACGATTCACTGCACCAAAACGATTTCTTTTTTTTATTGAATGTAATATTGAAAAGGGAGTTGGGTTCAATAAACATAACAAATAGGTTTGATCTAGTTCCCTACAATGCCAGAACATCTCGAGGTTAGCAACTATGCCCCCAGCCATCTTTGGAATTCCATCCTTCTATTCCTCTGAGACAACCAAAAAAGTAAATCTTCTTGCAATTTACTGACCAGTGTATAAATTGTTCTTAACACTCGGGAGGGTGTCAGCCAGGCTCAGTTGGTACCACTCTTGTCTCTGGTTTGAAGGTTCTATTTGAGTGTAAGGCATATAATTGCCATAAAGCAGCAAACGTTTCACAATTAAAAACAGACTCGAGTAGAAGGCAAATGGGAGGCAAATAAATGTCTTCAAGAGGTGAGAGAGAAGAAGAAAAAAATTGAGGAAAAATGATTAAAGAAACGTATATGTTTAATTCACTAATAAAACTTAATAGTTTGATTTATTCAAAACTACATACAGTCTTTGGCACTCCTCGCCTACCCCCTCTCTCCCTTCACCACCACACTGAACATGCAGAATTACCAGCACACAAGCTTTGCTATAAGACTTCATCAATGCTTCAGAAAGTGGAAATACTCTGATTTTTGTTTTAACAATTGTGTTCAGACCTTTCACTGAACATTGACCTTTAATATCCCCTGAACTAAATTGTTTCTAAATGTCATTCTTGCAAGAACTCTTTATGCAGGAGAATATTATCGATATCAAAACTACTGTGGGGGAAACAGCTTTAATTATAACATTTCTATGGTTCCTTTTGGCTCAGTATAGATTTAATTATTGGTTTATTGTTCAGTGAGAAGTGTAGACATTAACTCCAGCAATCTATACTGGGAGCAAAGAAGTCTGGTCTCCCTCTATAGATTGTTCTTCCTTTTAGCCATTGGGAATTGATATGCTATATCTATAATTAGCCTGAACGTTATCATACATTTTTCCTGATTGTATTATCTCCTTTATGTCATAAACCTATAGTTTGTATGTCTCATTCTCCAGACATTTGTGCAATAAATCAAATCTAGCACCGAAAGCTGCCCCAATAAATTAATTCCAAACTTATTTTTTTTTGAAAAGTATAAATAAAATGGCAATGGGATTCACAACTTAAATTCAGAATATCCCGTATCAAATAAAAGACTACAGACAGAATAGGTTTGTGAAGGATGGACGTTCACTTGCGTATTGATGAGTTTTTTTTAAAAATAGCATTGATGTATGAAACTTTCTTATTGCATATCGTGACAGATTAATCAGTTGTGCTTTTTTTCACTTGGATGTGTTGTCCTGCTTGCAAACATTCATCTAGAAAAGAGCTAGCCTGAGCTGATTTTAAACAGGGTGTTGTGGTTCACTTTATTTGATCTCCCACTGGGTTTCCTTGTTGACTAGGTAATTTAAGTCTTATACCTTAGGTCCACTTTGAGGTCGATATGTTTCAATCTGCTCGAATCAGCTTGAAAATGTATTCTTGTAGGTATACGCCATCATCTCGCCAGACAAGCCAGGAGGAAGGGAAAGAATGGCTTCGCTCTCACTCAACTGGAGGCCTTCAGGATACAGTCAGTCAGTCTCCACTGCCATCGCCATCTGCCATTTCCTCTCCCTGCAGTGGGAAATACAGTTTTACTCATTTAGGTGAGCATCAACAAGCCAATGCTTCACCAATTAGGTTGACTGATCACCGTATTATAGTGCAAAGAGTCATCTCTTCCCATTTCAAGGCAAATAAATCTTCATTTTGTGTTACACTGGAGATGGTTTAGCTGCTTGCTGCCTTTTTTATATTTCAGTGTCACTTTATTACATTTTCACTGGATTGACATCAAATGTAACATGTTGGTTTACTGGGTAATTGCTTTTGAGAAGAGGATTGCCCTGATGAAATGGGACACAATTTACATTATACTGACCCTAATCTTTGCTTGTGCATCATCACCTCAGTACTCGATAATTAAATGTATGCAGTGGAATTGAACCAGAATTAAATCTTGTCCTATTATTGTGTGGAGGCCCTTTGAAAACTAAATTGCTCCAGGGACGCTTAATTGTCAATTGGCTTGTTAGGTGTTAGTTTATTTGGAAAGCTTTGAGATGCCCTTGTCCACTTTATTAGCAAATTCAGAGAGTTACGTGAATTGCAGGTTTTGGTTAGAACTGGGGTGGTTGCTCTGAAATGCACAATGTCTGAACCTATGTGTTTTGTGCTTAAAGTTTGTTTCCATTATCTGAGAAACATCTGTTTTACCCTCAAATTCAATGTTAGGTCATTGTGTGGATAACTTAGTGGGTTTGTTCCTGTATAATCCCATCTCAAGATATACATTTATTTGACCCCGCTTTCATTCACCCTTCCCCTCGCTACCCCCTTCGCTTCCACCCAGCAGTGGCTCTGAGACATACTTCTGACGTGAAAGACACTATGTAAATGTGTATGTGTGGACACCAGGTGAGGTCAGGATTAGTCTCTGTTGTGATACCCATGCCTGCCAACACTTACTGTCAAAAATCAAACATGAAGACTGAGGTACCAGAGGACATTCTCATGGAATCGTGAAGAATTTCACAAATTGTTTAATTCTGTTTGTACTTTGAAGCATGTCAACTGTGAGTTTTTTTTGGAGGACTGCGGAAAATGGGCTTCCAAGTTAAAACTGAATTAAACAATTTGCCAAATTTTGCATACTCTGAAATGTTATATTAATGGAGTGAATCTAGACTTGGGTGGAATTTTATCCCCACTGGTTTCATAAGAATGATGTTCTTCCTGTGCATCCTTTAAAAATTATTCAATAATGTTTGGAAACTAATTGTTCATCTCCTTTAAGTGGATTATTGTAAAGTGCCCACTCTGCATACTTGCCTTACAAGATTGTAAATAATTACAGAGACTGAATGCAGGAAATCGAAAGAGGCTTTATCTTGTTCCACTGATGTAGAACAACAACAAAAATAACTTGTATTTATATAGCGCCCTTCATGCAGAGTAGAGTCTTGGAGTGTTTAACTATGGCAAAGCTTGACGCTGATCCATGCAGGGAGAGAGAGAGAAGGTGACTATAGGTCCTGCTGAAGGGGAAAGTTTTCAGGTGTGATCTGAAGACAGGCAAAGAAGGGGCAAGGTAGAGGAATTGAGGCAGAGAGTTTCAGAGTCTTGGGCAGAGTAGCCAAAAGCATGGCCATCGATGGTGGAGCGGACAAGGGATTTACCAGAGGCTGGAGCCAAATAAATGAAGCAGGACATGTTGGGGTTGGGAGAGGAATTAGGAGGGGTGAAGGTTTGTGTGGAATATAAACAGCAGACTAGTGGAACCTATTGGTTGGTTTCAGTGCTGCAGATTCTAAGTAAATCCATGTAACTATATAAGAGATGACTCCTCATTACGACGTACAAATCAAAGCACAGCTGGCTCTCTTTGTTTACCACTAACCATTTCCATTGTAGTTCAGTTCCTGAGTGTCTCTTAAATTTCAGCAACATCATAATAAATTGTGTGATTGTAACCAATTCATATCTGTACAGTATTTGTTTTGAGACTACATTGAAATATTCTTCTCTGTATTTGTCTACTTTAACTCGCTGCGAGAAATGCTTTGAGTTATCCTCACGGGATGAAAGGCGCTATATAAATGTAAATTATTCTTGCTGCTTGTGAATATTCAAGCTGATTTTGCATCAACCTCTAGTTCCTGAAAAATGTGCAGTTGGAAAAAAAAAATTATTTGGTTTGAAACAGTTCTCCTCCAAAAAGACCATCCGATCAATGTGCGTGTGCGCGTGTGATACAGAAAGTGTTATAGCAATTATATCAATCCAACCATTGACTCTACACCTCCTGGTGCAATTTTCTCATCTCTAATGAATGGAGAAATGTTGCAGCCATTGTCCTGTTCTTTGTTACATGTGTGACCTTGCAATCCAGTCAGGATTGCTTATTATCAGATTGATTAATCAGCGATGTGAAATGCTCTCTCTCTCTATCTATCTCTATCTATATAGGTGTAAATTGCATCATATTGATCATAGATGTGCTGAGATTTGTGTTTGTATTTACAGTCAGTCCCACGGCAATATCCCAATTTCATCATTCTGGTCCAAGTATGATGCGATCAAACAGTATCCCAACCCAAGATTCCTCTTTTGACCTGTACGGAGACACTCAGCTGTGTGGCAGTGCGGTGTCCCTGGAAGAAAGACCAAGAACAATGAGCAGGTCTGGCTCGTTCAGAGACAGCATGGAGGAAGGTATGGGTGACAATCTTTTTCCTACATGTTCAATTTCTGCAAGGGAGAATTTTGTTCCTTTCTCCAAACTCCCTTCTTTAAAAAAAGAATAATAATGCCAAAAAAATGTTTTGTTTTAAATTGTGAGCAGTTTTTTAATGCACCGAACAGTAAACTTGGCGTGGTGCATTTAAGACTGGTTTGAATGGGGGTTGATGATCAATAGATCGAGGGATGAACATGTGGCCAATTAGAAGCATTACATTTAGCAGTAGCGAGTGACAGTCCAGAATCCTGTCAGTTTTTTATAAATTTTAAACCAATGTACGTGAAAATCTACTTTTGTTTTCTGGCTGTTACAGATGCCCAGTTGCCGCATGCCTTCAGAGCGCTCAAGTTCTCAATTAGATGTGTTCACAGCTGTGGCTGCAAATACCTTTTAACCGCGCTGACCCTTTCAGTTTCTGAGTTGTTGAAAACCCAATTATAACTGAACTCCTGGGGTCAAAATGTATACCAATTTGCTGCTGACTTGCCAGTGAAGGATTAGAGTGTCAGCCGAATGTGCTTTTCAGCATAGTTGCATTTGTATTAGTTTCGCCCACAAAATATACAGTCAATTCACTTTACAGAATATTCTGTGAAGCGCTTTGAGACGTCTCGAAGTTATGATAAGGCGCTATATCAAATGCAAGGATTATTATTATATTTCATGTTGATTCTCGGGATAGTTGAATGATCCATAATCGTCAGACAGCTTAATACTTCGGTTTATTTTTGCTCTTCGGGATAAGGGATGTTGGTTCAGAATAATGAAACTTTTCTCACCACATATCCGCATCAAGTTTTGCAGGTCAAGTGGAGCACAACTAACTGCAGATTTGATGCTACCACTGTGGTACTTGCTCCAATGATGTGCCTTAACCCCAATCTCAAGGGTAGGCCTTCAGTACTAGTGCGATTGTACTTCTCACATCAGCTATAACGTGATAATAATCTTTGCATTTGATTTAGTGCCTTTCACATCAAGAGGCACCTCATCAGGATGTATTGTATAAATGGAGTGACTGTGTGTTTTGTGAGCCTGGTTTATAGAAAATCGGACGGGTGCAAATTGATCAGTGCCACTGATACCATAAATGAGTGGGTCATTTTATGGGTTAGTTTGTCCTGAGAGCTTGACCCTTTATCAACTGGGTTGACTTGAGACTGCACAAAGTATTTTTTAGTGAAGAGAAAAGAGACTTTCCTCCAACGAGGTGTGCTTGCATTTGAACGAAGGTTGTAGTAAGGAAAGGACACTACGCCAATTCACTGTATCACCTACTTATCTTGGTTATGCAATTAATGTGTTGTTTAGGAGTTTTCATAGTTGTTTGAGGTTTAATTATACACAAAACGGACAGCAAACAGCAGATTAGAATTTCAATAAATACAGAGTGTATTAATGGTTCTGCCAAACAAGTACCTGGGGCGATTTAAAGACTTCCAACTCTACACTCAGCGGGGTTGGGAGGAAGATTCATTTGCTCTCACTGCCAGCTTGGTTGTGATGTTTCAGTATTAATAACTCAGTAAAATGAGCAAGTGTTCCCGCACCGGTGATTCAATCCCACCATTACCTTTCAGCTTTATAAAATGTTTTGCCTTGACTGGAAGAAATCTGCCAAGATAAATCGAAAGGAGAACACAGGAGTTTCTGGGGGGTTTTTAAGCAACAGTTTGTGAAAGCAATGATGGTGTGTTGATTGACACTAAGACAAAGTGCACCAAAGAATTTTACCTGCAGTGGCAACATTGCTCTTTCACAAAATTAGACGGTTAATGGTTTTCCACTGGCATTGTTTAAGAAACATCAATTCTTTCCAAACTTCACAATAGATCTGCATCATTTGTCCCAGACAGAAATGAAGGCAGTCACTCACCTCACTTTCTCCAGTGGCAATGCTTACATTACGCAATAGATCCATACATTGAGACTGCAGGTTGAAATGTCTGCTTTGTACGGTGCACGTCTCATTTTTGACAACACTGCAGGTTTTGTGCTGACGGTCAGTGACTGAAAAGAGGGTCACAGGGTCAAAGTTCTGTGGTGAACAAATGTGGGTTCAAAGTATCTGTGATAAACTAAACATTCTACTAGTCCCCACGGGAACCTTGTTTCATCCATTAACTTGCACAAGTGTCGTAAGTAGACCATGTGCTGTACAAAAAAGGGTTTTGGCAGATGCAAAATTGACCTAACTGAAATAATGACAATACGTTAGCAATACTTTGTCAGATAAATTCAGATTCAACAAGACATGGGTTGATTTTCAGTTAATACTCGGGTTCTCACTTTATTCCTTTTCCTATTGCCTATCATATATGTCATTTAAAGAGTATGTCTGTGCCTCACAAATCCATGCTAGGGCCAATGCTGTTTATACTGTGCAGAAATGATATGGAATTGGGAATAGAAACCAAGCGATCTAAGTTTGCTGATATTGCTAATTGGGAAAGGTGGGGCAGAGGCAGTTGCAGATAATGGGGAACAGTGTTGCCAAATGTGGATAAACTAGGGAGTTGGGCAGACAAGTGGCAAATGTCAATTAATGTGAACAAATGTCAGGAAAGGAATTTGGGAGTAGAAGTAAACAATATCCATCAACGCAGTGTGAATTATGTCACTGTTTGCTAAAGCATTCAATTTTGGGCTATGAGAGGCAGATTAATGCTGGATTATTTAATATTTTGTTTTTAAAAATGTTAGGATCATCCGGAAGGACTACAATGCTCCTTTCCATAACTGTTCATTTCTATGCTCTTATCCAGGCAGCTTTTTTTTTAACAGGGCTGAATCTCTGCTGCTAATGTAGGTATTTATAAGACAAGTGAAATGGCAGCCCTCCGCACTGACAATTGTGGTTGTAAGATTCACTCCACTACTGACAGTAGTGGGTATGGGGATCACTCTACAATTAACAGATAATTATAAGGTTCACTCTGGAGTCACATTGGTAGTTATAAGCTTCTTTGTTCTATCACTCACTAAAAGAAGAAAAGTAATATCATATTAAATTAAAAATCAAATTGCTGCCTTGGCATTTATATACACGTAACAAGCACTGGGAACGCCACCCTGTGGTAGCTTTGATAAATAACTGTTTGAACTATGTATTTTACGCTTAATCTCCTCTCGGATGAGGAACAAGATGAATATATATTTATAAGCAACTTTTGAATATCTGCTGTTTTGATTAGGTCAGAAAGATGCATTGCATCTGCCGACTTCCTCTTGTGTGTTGCTCAATGCTGAGGTCCACACACTTATTCAAAACTGTGGTCTGTAGAAAGTCCCCATTATCTGTTGGTTTTATGTTTGAACATCTGTTTGGAAAACTGATGGTGAAAAGGATCATTCAATGTAGACAATAGGGTCTAATTTGAGATATTTCTTTATGGGATTCCTTAATAACTGAAAGTCCATCACACAGATTCACAAGAATGCTGCTCTGAAACACTAGATGGTAGGTTATAAGGTTCACTCTACACTGACAGTAATGGATATAAGATTCACTCCACAACTGATAGAGGTAGTTGTAAGGTTCCCTTCTGTGTGCTTCACTGTTTCTAAGTCGACAGACCAGCGTAGTGACCTCCTTCCAGTCCATGGATCCTGGTCCGCTGGGAGTTCTTTCCAACAGTCAGGAGGGGGATGGTGTGACATAGCTTCCATTTTTTTCTCCCCTTCAGCCCAGTGGGGAAGTGTTCAGTGTTCAGCAGTCACCCTTTGCCTCCTTCGGCTCCGATGACATGGTGAACTGGGTAACTCATCAGGTGCGAAATGTCTTGGCCTGATTGCTGCTACAGCACTGTCTTACCCTGCACTCAGTTCTCATTAAACACACAGTTACAAGTATTTACTGTTAGCAATGAGATGAGTATACAGTGTAAAAGTGTGAAGCACTGATGTATGTGCACTTCGACTGTTGGTGGTGTGAAGCTTGTTGCTGTGCTCGGTTATCCTGACGTTTTTGAAATACTGTTTTGTTGCCATTTATTTTCAATTCACTCTTTGAGTTGTAATAAACGAAAGCTCCTTGAACAGTCAGCTTCAAACAGGTAGCAATGTTTGTTAAGATTATAGAGCACCTTGTAGCATCTGTGATTGGTGCATATGCTGTCGATGTATGATTTTTATTCTGAGCTCGTACCTGAGTAACAGCATCTTTTCAATGCTGAATGATTTCTCTCCTTGAATTTTGCAGTCCATGGATCATCGTTATCACTGGTATCAAGCACTTCATCTCTCTACTCCACAGTAAGTATCACTGCCAGCTACAGATAACCCGCAATTAATCTGTATTTTGATTCTTTCACTGTTACAGCAGATTAGCCAACTAACCTGAGGAACCCAAATCCCCATTTTTCCCTATTGCACTGATATGATGTGAAATAACCTAAAGAAATGGAGCTGGCTGGGGACAGTTCAAAGGCATTAATGAACTGGCAGTAAGAGCTGTGAAACAACAGCAGTAGATGAACCATGTTAATGCCAGGTTATGTGAATCTTATTGAATGTGTGCACACATGCGTGCATGTACTGCTCCACCAAATTAAGCATATGATTGAAGATTGAAGGACAAGGTCTAAGGTGAGGGTTATAGGTCATTCCTGCAGTCCTTTAGTTAGCAAGACACATATACACAGCCCCATTATTCTTGCTCAAACATATTTCAAAGCTATTATTTAATCCCCCTATGTTTGTGGTCCATTGTCTTATCTGTCACCTGCCCATTATTTAGTGTCTACTATCACATCCATTAATTTCATTATGCTTCAGTAGGTATTGATAATTGACTTTCTATCATCTTGCTTTTGATTCCCCCTAAATTTGGTAACTGGTTACAGTATTGAATGATGCAGCAAGGAAAGAGAACATTCAAACCAACTTATCTGTGCCAGACTATGTTGGGCTCAGTATACAACAACAACTTGCATTTATGCATTAGTGCCCTTCACCGAAGTTAATGTCTCAGAGTGTTTCACAAAAATGGTATTGGATGCCAAGCAAGGGAGGAAGGGGAGGGGGCATGTGCCCACATATGGCAAGCCTGTCCACTGTAGACCAGCATGTTGAGACTAAACCAAGCACAAAATGGAAGGAAACTGGTCATTTACTCTTTATCATTGAGACTGCAGCATTGCTAGATAGTACTGAGCAGCTAAAAGATGAAATCTGTTCATAAATTACTTTCTCTTCCATTTCCTCACAACGAATATATTTTCAACATCTCACCACTGCTTTTTGAATGGTTTTCAAAATACATGTTATTTTGGAGGGGGCAGGAGAAAGGTTAAAATCTTCCCTTGGTACTTACAACGTGAATTAATTCTCAATGAACCAAGCTGAAACAACCTTGACTATTTACAGATTTAAGGTGGATCATTTGCTGCTGTGTCGAAAATTAGCTAGGGTTGTCTTGGGTTTTGTGGCGTGAAGTGTGTTCACCATCTTTCCGATATTGAGTAAGCTTGAATCGCAGGCACCATTGAGTTAGCTGATTTCAGCGGATGAGTAGATTGGGATTTGCAATTGGCCTTTACAGAGGGGAAAAAATCAGCCAGAGTTCTTGCTCCTGAACATTACCCAGTGTCTCCTGCTGGAAAGTGCACATCTATGAATATTAGAAGAGATGGGAGTGGACTTGGATGTAATATTCCCTGGAGTTGAACTGCCCTCCGGCAAATGGCCACTCATGTGAAAAACAGCCATTTGGCTGAGGACATCTAGTATCCAAGAAAATACACCCCATCAAAAAGAGCCCAAACCTTCAGGGAGAAAAGGAGAGTAAGCTGGCAAAACAAAAAAGAAACTGCTTGTTAAACACTGCCTCATGAAGACCATACTTCTTCAAATCCCAGCCTTTCGTGTCAGCTGAACTTTTGTACTTCTCCAAGTAACTAATGAGGTGCCAGTTCATTCCAATTGCATTTGACTGTTGGAACATTTGAGTCTCCAGCACATTAAAAATACCTCAGCTCGTGCTTATAGCCACCACTTTGTTTTTTTAGTTACCGAGTTTGATGGACGCTTGCTACATGTTCTATGTTTGCTGAACAAAGTCAACCACATTGGGGTGACGGAAATGACTTGATACATCGTCTCTCGTTGCCCTGCTTTTTATTTACCCTGAATTCTGTGCTGACGTGGGGGTGCGGGTGGGGCGAGAGGTTAGAGTTTGTTCAGCTTTGCGGTAATTAATCAAAAGACGATGTACATGTGGAAACATCAAACAAAAGAGGGATTTCTTTTTCAAAAAAAACAGCAATACATGTGCAACAATCGTGCATTGTTCCATTGCGGTCATGACAGCCAGCCTAAGCCCATTTCAGATGGTTACGGTTCATATCACTCATTTTCTTCATTATAGAGGCACAGCATGAGGAGAAATGTGAGAGCCCTTGTAGAGGCTTTTTTTCCACAGCACAGTCCAAGAAACTGAAATTTGCCTTCAAAGTTGCCCTTGTTCCCACATGTCGTTTTTTTAAAAAAAAAACATTTTTTTTGACAGATCTCTTTTTTTAAATTATTACTTCCAGCTTTTTCTTCTTTCTTTAATGGATTGGCTTAGAATATTCACCCAGCTAAAGGAGCCGGGGTATGTTTTTACCTTTCTATTTGAACATTGGGAACAAAACAATGTGACTGTTTAACAGCCATCGACACTCTCTTGATTGACATCAAAGGGTGTTTGACACAGGAAACCAATGGGGTCACTCGATAATGGACAGAGTGTTTGAGATTGGAAATGCCAAAGTACTGGCTCGCTCTGCACGGCTTCTAAAATCCATTTCAAATTAATTCAAGTAATATTCGTTTCTATTTGATATCTTTCAGTCTGCATAGTTATACTTGGCAGTATTATAGTTAGAAAACCCTGGCTTCTTTTTTTACTTTAGAACTATAATTTTTACTTTAAAGGAATCGATTTAAATGTCAGATGAAAGCTCTCTAAGCTACAGTAAGGGAAATTTGGTCAATTCTTTGTTATTTAAACATCTCTCTTGTTTGAGTTTTCCATGTGCACATCATCTGATTTAATTACTGCAAAGCTGAACAAACTCTTTTCCCAGAAAGTAAAGCAATGTGGAAAAAAAATACAGCAAACCCATTTCTCATCTCTCTCAAGTGGCTGGGACTCGCAGTACTGTGTAAATCAATCGTATGTAAAAAAAGGTCATGTTAATTCTCCACGCTTGCTGACGTATCAGCTCAGTTGTTTCCAGAAATCACTCTGTATTGTTAGAAGTAAAAACCTTTAATAATAATAATCCTTGCATTTGATATAGCGCTTTTCACGTCTTCTAGGCGTCTCAAGGCGCTTCACAGAATATACTGTAAAGTGAAATTAACTGTATATTTGTGGGCGAAACGTGGCAGCCAATTGCGCACAGCAGTGTCCCATAAACAATCTTGGATTGAAAATGACCAATTCATTATTGTTTTTTATTTTGGAGGGATTATTATTAGGCGTGTGGAGTAAGGAAACTTGCCCAAGGTTTCGCCCTGCCTGGATTTGAACCCAGGTGTCTCGCTTGCAAAGCGAGTGCTCTAACCACTGAGACTTTATTGATGTCTTATGGAGCATCACCATTCTGCAGTTGTAATAATAATCCTTGCATTTGATATAGCGCCTTATCACGTCTTCGAGGCGTCTCAAAGCGCTTCACAGATTATACTGTGGGTGAAACGCAGCAGCCAGTTGCGCACAGCAGTGTCCCACAAACAGTCGTGGATTGAAGATGCCATTTTGGTGCAAGAGTCATCACTGCAAGGGGCAAAGCTCTCACAATCTGTGCTGTAAGGCTCCAGTCACTATGTGGTGCGAGACTCTAGTCACTGTGTGGTGCATGATAGATTTATGATTAATATCACATCAAATATTGTAATGTTATAAATCCCTCCACCCCCCCCCCCCCCCCCCACAGTGTTTTGTTTCTGTAACGAAACAACTAAACCATATCTGGAATATGATGCCTGAAATAAAGAATAAACTTCTTCCCATTAAAGTTCCTCTAAAATGCTGGTTGCATCACGTGACTTTGCTAAACTTTCGCTGCAAACTGCGGGTTTGACAGCCACTGGAGAGTAAAGGATGTACATGTACAGTGTGAGAGGCAATATCTCTAAACCATAATCACCGTACAAGTGGTGCTCATTCTTTAACCAGTGTCTTCAACTAGCACATTCATACCTCAGACTGAACAGGTCGCTAAAACTGTAAGATTAATGTAGCAAAGATTTCCTTTTGGTCCATATGCTTTTCAAAATGGGATGAAATGGTTTGAAAGTTTACTTGAATACGAAAGCCTTGTGCAGCAGAAGCACCTGGCACATCTGGTTTAAACAAAGCACGCAGATTTCTTCTTCATTGCTGCTGGTTTAATTCTAGATTTTGTGTTGTTTTTAGGCGGAAGAGAAAGCACATTCAGAGGTAAGAAATTCAAACCATATTGAAGATACGTGTATGATGATAGTATAATAATAGTAATAATCCTTGCATTCGATATAACGCCTTTCACATTTTCAAATGGCAAGACATCTCTGAACGCTTCACTGGATTTATTGTAAAATGTAGCAAATGTATTTTGTAGGTGTCAAGCCAATTTAGGCGCAGCAATGTCTCACAAATGGCAGTGAAATGAATCAAATGATGTGTGTGTTCTATTGTTAGAAGGCATCTTGAACTCAGTTACTTAGCAAGTACAGCAACATCCTCGGCGCTCTGAATAGCTGACACCACTAGTATTACTTGTAGTATTTTGTAGCTAAACCATGGCCATGACAATCTTATGAGCCAGAAGTGGGTCGCTTTCGTCGTCGAAAAGATTTCTAAAAATCAAAAGAATCTGAAAAAAAATAAACAAAACACAAAATACTGCAGATACCGGATATCTGAAAACAAGAACAGAAGTCACTGGGAACACTCAGCAGGTCAGGTAGCATCTGTGGAGAAAGGAAAGTGAGTCAACCTTTCGGATCCATGACCCTTCGTCAGAACTGGGGCATGTTAGGATGGAGAGGCATTTAGGGGCTAAGAGAGAGGGGGGAGGCAGGGCAAGTGAGACAAAGGAGAAAACAGGGTAGAGGGAAGGGGATGATGAGTTAAAGAGGTGTTAATGATGCAAAACAAATGGGTGGATTGTGACAAAGCAGGGGTATAGAGGTGTTAATATTGCAGAACCAAGTGGGGGACGGAAATTGCAATAAAGCAGGTAGACCAAAGAGAGAAAAGGTGTGTCTAGGATCAAGATGATGTGGTAATGGTCACAGAAGAAGGGGAGAGGTAAGGTGAGTGTTATGGTCTGAAATTATTGAAATCACTATGGAGGGCAGAGGGCTGTGAGGTCCCCAGCAGATAAACGAGGTGCTGTTCCTTGAGCTTGTGCTGTGGCTCATTGGAACAGCGTAGGAGACCGTGGATGAAGAGGTCAGAGTGCGAGTGGGAGGGAGAGTTGAAATGGTAAGAACCCGGAAGCTCAGATTCGTGCTTGCGGCAGAACGGAGGTGTTAGACAAATCAGTCGCCCAATCTGCGTTTCGTCGCCCAAAGTAGAGGAGACAACATCGTGAGCAGCGAATGCAGTAAACTACATTGGTGGTAGTACATGTAAATCATTGTCTCAATTGAAATCTTTGTTTCGGTCCCTAGACAGTGGTATTGGAGGAGATGAAAGGGCAGGTATTACACCTACTGCACTGGCATGGGAAGGTGCCGGTGGGGAGGAGAAGAACTGTTGGTAGTGATGGAGGAATGAACCAGGGAGTCACGGAGGGAACGATCCCTTTGGAATGCTGAGAGGGGAGGGAAAGATATGCTTAGTGGCTGGATCATGCTGGAGGTGCTGGAAATGGCGGAGAATTATTTTTTGGATGTTGAGGCTGGTCGGGTGGAAAATGAGGACGGTTCTGGGAAGAGGGGGAAGGGGTGAGAGCCCCTGAAAAAAAATAAAGATTGATATCATCCATCAAAAAAAAACTCAAAAAAACCCCTAAAGATATGTAAAACTACACATGGAATTTGATTTTGATGTTGGTAGATGTGCCTGAGCAACATGCAGTAAATTCGGCTGTATTACATGCCTTAATTTTATGCATTGTTCAAACATGGTTTGCTTTTCTTATAAAATAGCAAATTCGAAAGCTGAGGAGAGAACTGGACGCATCCCATGAGAAAGTTGCGACTCTCACATCTCAACTGTCAGCCAATGTAAGTGCTCTGTTTCCTCTGACTGAATATTGCATATTTAAATAAATCAAGATGTTCCGAGACATTTCGGTATTCTTCTGAATTGCTATTACAAATGGTTCAGCTGTCAGCATCGTTTATAAACAACAGAATGTTGGAGGAGAGTTCCAGAGGGAGGGGACAAAATGGCTGGAAACTGGCCCGCAGATAAGCGTGAACTATGTGCTTATTTCCAGCATGGAATGGAATAAAATGTGATTCTTGTTAATACTCTTCCATTTATCATGAAAATATACTAAAGAATGCGGAGCCCTTGGCAGAGGATTTTTCAGTTGTGCAGCATCTATCATCTTGTAATGTGATTTTCTCTTTAAATACCTATTATAACTCTCCATTTGGTGGACTTCTCTTTGTCCCTGCTCTCTCTGCCTCTGTCAGTTGAAGGAAAGCCTTTCTACTTGCCAACAAGCCTGATGGCTGCCAACCTTGCAGCTTATGAATTTTTTTAATTGCTTCCAAGCCACGACTGAAGAAGTGAATCACAAGCTAATTAAAGAATGAAGGATTGAAACATCGATTTATCTCAGACATTGCTTTCCCCCAAATGCCCCCCTCTTCATATGTCCATTCACATGGGGACAGGACCTTTAAATATTGACCCAATACAGTTGTTTAGAGCAGCCACACAAATGTTAAAAAAAATCTAATTAGCTGCTGCAAAAAGAAGGATTATATCTGTATTGATAGCGACCTTTTAAACAATGGAGTCATTAGAGGTAATCTTAACGAGAGACAATAATAATCCTTGCATTTGATATTGCTTCTTGTCACGTTATTGAGATGTCTTAAAGTTCTTCACAGGATTCTGCTGTGAAGTGTAGCGACTGCTTTTGGAGGCAAGTGCGGCCGCCAATTTGTACACAGCAATGTCCCAAAAACAGTCATGGAGTGAATGACCAATTTTATTTGGGGATTGTTGGCCAGGACACTGGGAGAAACACCTTTCTCTTTCTCGACTATTTCTGTGGGTTCTTTAACATCCACCTGAACTGGGGGATGGACCTCGGTTTAACCTCTTATCTGAAGGACAGCACATCCAACAATGCAGTGTTCCTCCACATTGCATTGGCGTGCCATCTTAGACTTAGAGTTCAAAGTCTGAACTCACAGACGTGGAGTTTGAAACCACAACTTTCTGACTCAGAGACAAGAGAGCTACCGACTGAGCCACGCTGACACCTAAACCCATATTGAATGTTCCAAGGCGTATATCTGACATTTTGAGCTTAATACTTAATATTCATACTTATCAACCACTGCACTGATGACCTGTATTTGTAATGGATTGGTTACTAACTGCACTAGTTCCTTTTGAATTCTCGTATCGGGGGCTTGTATCTGCTCCTCACATCTCAGTGTGATAACATTATCTGTGGATAGCAACCGAATGCTAAGATGTAATGCATAGGTATTGAGGACAAAGGCCATGATAATGCGTCCAGTGCTTGCCTTCTTGTTTACAGAATTGAATGCTATTGTAGGATAGCTAAATGGAGTTCTCTCAGTTATACTTTGTCATTTTTGGAGGAGAAGCCAGCCCACAGGCCTCCCAGAACACTCTTTGAAGCTCGCTGGCAGCCGTGAATGTGAATGGGATTAGACTTTGGGATTTTCTCTATCCTCGTGAGAATCCCAAATCGGAGACTGGAACGGTGTCAGTTGTGCTGAATTTTGATCCCTTTTCCCAAGTGGACTTTGTTGTTTTACATGACGATTTTTACTAATGACTCTGTCTGGGTAGAAATCTCTAGCTAATGCGCCTCATAGGACACCAAATCTATAAGCGAGGCAGCATTATATGGAGGCGGGTGTGTTATATAATGGGACTCCCCTATTCAACTACAGGAATTAAAATAGAAGTGGAACTTCAGCAAGAATATAATAACCCCAGTAATTTGATTGCAAAAGAAGCGATTACAGAGACAATTAGTGAAAGAATAATATCCAGGTTAATAAGATTAATCAAAGTTGAGGGTCCACCAGCATTGATATCAATCCTTCTGACTTTGCCACAGATGTGTGCTCCAACTCTTCCACATACCCTAAACTCCAGTGTTCAAAATCATCTCCAAGTGTTGACTACATTTTCCAGAATAGTCTAATCTATTGTCTTTACTTGGACCTGGGCACATCTTAGTTTTGCAGTCATGCTTCAGTGCTGTCCTAAATCTTTGAAGAGAAATAATATTTTGTTCTGAATCAGAGGAATGTTTCAAGAACTTGGAAAGAAAGAAGAGAAGAGATAAATCAAACCTAATAGATCGTACACGAGGAAAAAGTGTTTTTATAAAAGAAAGCTTAGAATGTGTGATGTGATACCCACAAATCTATGCAAACATTTGCTGAGCAATTTGTTATTGACTTTTCTTTTTTAATTCTGCTTGACTTTTATTCAATATTGTTCAATGAAGCAGCCAAATATTATGATCTGCAATGTTTCAAATTTTTTTTATATGGTACGTTTTTTCCTTCCAAAATGTATGTGGAATGTATCATTTCCAAGTTACTATCCAGCCTGTAATAACACACTTTGCTATAACATTATTTTGTTTGTAACACAATATGAATCACTTGCATTTGCTCTGCTCAGTTTACATGCACCAGCTGATTCCCACACAAACAAAGGCCTACTTCCTACTTTTGTTTGTGGGACACTGTTGTGCGCAATTGGCTGCCGTGTTTCACACACAAAATACACAGTCAATCCACATTACAGTATATTTTGTGAAGCGCTTTGAGATGTCTCAATGACGACGTAATAAGGCGCTGTATCAACTGAAAGGATTATTATTATCATTATTGTACATGCACAGAAAGTGACAGCTGAGGCAACCCAATGATCCGGGAGTCGACAATTGTTTTGTGTGGGAAGCGCAGTGTGGCGGAGCTGGCCAAACCCACCTGAGAATGGTGAAACTGGCTGTCATAGTCCTATTTGAAGGCAGGTTGGGATTTTATGGATCTCAGCCATAGTTTTCTTACGAGACACCATTGTCAGAGTTGATTCCTATGATGAAAATTGATAGACAGGTAAGAATAATAATAATAATCCTTGCATTTGGTACAGCGCTTTTCACGTCGTGAGGACGTCCCAAAGCGCTTCACAGAACACACTGTAAAGTGAATTGACTGTATATTTGTGGGCGAGCGCGGCAGCCAATTGCGCACAGCAATGTCCCACAAACAGTCGTAGATTGAAAATGACCAATTTTACTATGTTGTTTTTGGTTTTGGAGGGATTATTATTAGGCGTGTGGACAGAAGATAATTTATGAACAAAGTGCACGCTTATTTGATCATCCTTATTTACATATTTTAATTGGTTACACAGTTGCATATTTAATTAGTCACAGAAAGAAACTAAAGCACACTTATTAAAGGATAAGTATCCCTGATTTTGACAGAACCCCCTTATGCAACTGGTGTGCCAGTGATTCTTATTCTCCAAAGATTCGTTCTACACATTCAATTGATCTAATTGAAGCCTGCTTTCAAGAGCTGGATGAAGTTAAAAAAAAGTACACAATGTTTATTTAGCAAGGTGAAGTGTCACTCAAACCTCATTTACTGGTGGAACCTGGAATGAAGTGGTTTATGCAGATGCCTTCAAACTTCCGGTGATTTTACTGCTGCATATTCATGCAAAAACACTTCCTTTAATATTTCAAATTCAACATTGTTTTGAAGTGAAAGATGAGTTCAGTTGCATCAGGAAGGCAGCGCAAGAGGACGCAGACTCTCCTTGATGGTTGCGAAGGACACTTTGAGGTCCTACACCAGTAAATATCGACACCAAATGTATTGGCTGGAACAGGATAAAACGGCGGTAACAACTTGCATTTATGTAACGCTCTTCACGTAGGGTAATGTAGAGTTCGATGCTGGAAAAGGGGGAAAGGGGGAGGTGGTCAAAGGCACGAGGTAGTTTTTGAGGCAGGACTTGAAGACAGAAACAAAGAGAGGTGGTGAGATGGAGGGTAGGGAGGTTCCAGAGGCTGCAAGGAAAGGTGGCTGAGTCTAGGACACTGCATCCATTTATGATGATGTATTGGGACAATTGTATTGGTAGGTATTCTGGAAGAATGGGCTAAAGGGTCTTCTTCATTACAAGCTACTCTTATGATTTCATGATTTCTTGTGATTATTCTGCAGGGCTCTTTTGTCTCCTACACCATTTTGATTTTTTTTCCCCCATTTTATTTCTTGTAAAGGTCAATTTTGCACTGAGCTATTTTGCAACGACTTTTTCAGCTTCTAAATGTGTATATCCGGCTGTGATCAGTGTATCTGGCTGGGTCACCTTGGTGAGGGCCCACAGGGAATAGGAACAGGGCTTGCTGTGCTTTCAGCCAGGATTCTCTCTATTTTACCAACCCACATGTGGAGCTATTTTACTCCGCTGAATAAAAATTAATGAGGCAAGTTATATCTACATGCCACTATATACAGCAGCATTTTGATGAGGAAACCGTTGTTTCCAGAGTGAAAGACGATGGATGCGAAGCTGCTTGCTTTTTTTTCTTTAAATAATAATAATTATACGCTTTGCATCTCATACAGTACCTCATTAGGTCTTTGAGACATCTGAAAGAGCTTCAAAGAATATATTGTAAAGTGAATTGACTGTATATTTTGTGGGCGAAACATAAAGGGGCATATAATCCCTTATCAAGTCTTCGAGACGTCTCAAAGTGCTTCACAGAATATGCTGTAAAGTGAATTTACTGTATATTTTACCTTTTTTTTAGGAAAAAACATTACCTTTAAGATATGCAATGCTAATACTCCACTCTTGATAGAAATTTACATCATGGTGAATGTGAAAGGTGCACATGATGGCATTTAAGCATCTTGTGAATACAGACTCAGCTTCATTTTACTGATGAATCTGCAAAAGAAACATAGTGCAGAAAATGGCAGCGAGAATACTTTACTGGAAATGTCTGTCACTCTTACAGTGTTTGTGCCCCAAAATATAGAACTTTTCTGGCAACATGCAAAGTTCAGGTCTTGTAGCGTAGTGTTCTAGGGGATTCTTCCTTGTTTTTCCCAACAACGTTACAGAACACACTACTGTTCTTTTTGTTCTTTTGGTCTCCACTGTCAGGAAGATAATGTACACTTATTCAGTACAAGAGCTTTTCAATCGGTGTCCATTCTGCTCACCAGACACATACACAATCACACACACACACACAAGCTCTCCAGTATTATTGTGTCAGACACGATGCTTGTTTGAAGTTGACTCAGCGAGTATTAATTTTCAGTCGTACAAAATTCCAATTTCTCCCATCATAGCTAAAAGAATAAATCTGAAACCTGGGAGCCAATTAGTTGAGCAGATTCTGGAGGATAATCCGTCCAACCAGTAGTCTCCTCTTGTGACTGACATCAATTCCATCCTTATTTGACGATTTTTCAGCAATGACTTCCCACAGACTCCTACAAACTAGGCTGGTTATCTTCAATGAAGCTACTGAACGCAGCTCACAGTATCCCAGTAGTTGCACGATGCCCCTGGAAAGTGCAGCATGTTCTGTGGCTAACACCTTTGTATGGCCATCGCTAAACCATTATCCCGCTGCAAGTGTGCAAGATAACAGCAGGATACAGTCAGCAAAACCAAACAGAAGCATGAATTCTCAGCACTGTCAGACACTCTGTGCCTGGCCCACCAAGCAACCATTCATTCAACCGAATCAGGTGGGAAGACTTTTACTTGAAGCCAGCAGTTTAGATGTCTGCAAAACCACAAAAAGAATGCAGGGTTTGGCTTATCTGATCGAAAGAGTAAAGGAGAGATTTTATTGCAAGCCAAGCAGAAAATAGCTTTGATGGTTTAACAGTTCAGGGAGAGCCATTCAGTATAATTAGCTGGACACAGGCTGTATTTTTTTTTGGATTGCGAATGATCTTTTGGACAGCGTAAAGCAGCTTTGTTCTCATTTAGGAGTGGAGTAAAAAATAGGGTTGAAGTCTAAATAATGTTAACTTTTTCCTAACAAAATAAACTATGTGGGTGCTCTAGGACAGTGGGACACTGAACTGTTAGAAAACACTTCCTAACAATAACTAAGTTGGATAACTGATTATATATTGATTTCAATGTTGTATTCCATTAAACAGCATTAATTTTACACAGAAACAGATATGAGTACAATTAAATAATATACACACATACAATACTATGTGGGGATGTTTAGTAAAATAGATTGGGTGGTCATTTCAGATAATTGTATCACAAACAATTATAGTGCTTGTTTTCTGATAATTCAATATCTTTGAATATAATAGTAATAATCCTTAGTAATATATAATAATAATGATAGTTATTTGTTATAGCACCTTTCATGTCTGGAGGATGTCTCAAAGCATTTCACAGGATTTACTGCAACGTGTAGTATTTTGTAGGTGAATACAGAAGCCAATTTTCAAACAGCAACAACCTACAAACCACCAATGAATTGAATGAACAATTTTATCTGGGGGGATTGTTGGCCAGAACACACCGGGAGTAACTCCCATCTAATTAACAATATTAAATATCCTTGCCATCTGACACTTTTTATTAGGACAACGGGAAAATTATATGTTGCCAACAACCTGTAGCTTTCTTGGGTTGAAGAGATTTTAGACCAAAATTTATGTTCTAGAAATGACTACAGTATTTTGTTTTTAGTGTTACAAGCTGCATCTAAAGCTGTATCTGAGAGCTACAGTGGTGCAGTTGTTATTATGCCATCTTAATTTGGAAACATTTTAATAAAAGATTAGCAACTTCATTGACACTAATTTTACCTTGTGTTTAATCTTGCCTTTGCTTTCTTCTGTTTCCCAACATCTGGAAAATAATAACAGGTCAGCAACTGGACCAATGTAAAATGTTTCACTATACCTTGACTTGCTGTTTAAATTTATTCCAGTCAGAGAGTATTTTGTTTGATAACCGGTGCTGGACAACTCCAAGAAACTTTACAAATGAAGTAGCAGTGAGGAAAAGTTCTCCTCTAGGATACACCCATGTATGTCCAAACAACTGTATAATTTAAGTCACACCGCCTTAAGTAATAGCTTGCCTTCACTACTTCATTCATAGCCTGCATGATATCAGGGGCTAGACAGGAGTTTGCAAACTCTTAGATATGTGCTATAACAGTGCTATAAATTGCTTATTGTTCTTTACTATATTTGTCAATCACACAATGCAAAATAGTTTGAAGCACTTTATGACAGTAGTGTAGTAATAGGTTCATATATGAAACATAATTTTACTGTTAAAAAGAAAGGTTTAGCAGGTGTGAATTTAGGTGAGTACCTGCTGTTGTGGTGAGAAATGCTCAGATTCTTGCTACGCCCCAGTAATCCCAATCTGTTTCTCATGTTTGGTATCTATCCAAGTCATTAGTGGTTTCTCACTTCCTCCAGTTTTATTTCTTTGTATGCGAAGCTGTTTTTTGGGGGCATTAAGCATTCATCTACCTGCTGAACATTAATAAGAATGGCTTGCTTTGATGAGGAGGAGGAGGGATAGATCTGTCACTGTGGAGATTTGATGACATACATCTCTTAAAGTACTTTGTAACCACAAAGGTGTAAGAGATGCTTTTGTCCAAACAAATCTAACTGCAGCACAACTGTCTTCCTCCAGAAAGCCTGGAGATAAAATGACCATTCCTTTGCATTTGTCGTATTTAGCTTTTCAATTGCTAACATTCATCTTGATTTAAAAACAAAGGTTCTGAAGTGTAAATAACTTTCACTCCATAAAGTGACTATAAATGCTCTTGAGGCTTGGGGTACAGATGTATGATGAGTGTATGCCTTGATCACCAATGGATGTACATTTCATAGCATCTTGATTATACTTGCTGTCTCTGCCTGCTGTTACTCGGGTGTTAAATATGAAAGTGACCTGACCTGCTTAAGAGGCTAATATTAATAATCCTTACATTTGATATAGCGCCTTTCACGTCATAAAGCAGCTCAAAGTGCTTCACAGCATATTCTGTAAAGTATAAATGACTGTGTATTGTAAAGGCTAACTGTTAAGTAACAGTGATTAAATATTTCATACACTGTAAATCAGAAAGACTTCATTCTAGCCATATACACTGTGCTATATTTGTTTGCTGTCCTCAGCTCTCAGTTAGGTACACAATCCTCCTCCATCTCCAGTTCATGCTGGCAGAGCAGATTTACTGGCCATCTAATTGCTCCTCTGCTTCCAACACCAAGGCTTGGGCTGCAATTTAGCCAGCATGACGCAAGATAGATAGAGTGGCTCCTTTCACACCCCTTCCCACCAGCAGAGTGTTGGCAACTTGTCTATGGGTTCAGTGAACCTGTGCATTAGATCAGCTGGTGTTCGCTTGAAGCCCCAGCACTTCACAGAGATTATGAGGTTTTACACATTGTGGACGTGTCCAATATAAAGCAATATTCTATCAATTCTCAACAACAACAGATTCATCTTAAAAAAACAAGCAAAACGACTTGGGCTCTAGTCTGGTGGAAGTCAGAATTTACTTCAGCTAAAATATGAAATAAATAATATAATTTGTAAGCTTTATTTTCTTTCTCTCTCTCTCTCTCTCTCACACACTGTCTTACTAGGTAGCTACCTCCACACCAAATTCATAGTTGAGGAAGTAGGGAGGTAACCAATTTCTAGACCTTTGCCAATGCCACTCTGAAAATCACTGGCAAGCTTAGCTGCAGTGATACAAAGGCTGGCAGTGAGAATTCACTGTGTATGACACACCGGTGTGTGCAGTAAACCATGTTCTACCAGCCTGTGGCATAGCATAGCATGCTGGTAATCCACACCATCCCAACTGCATCAGCTAATGACAAAGCTCTTTCATCTCCAACAACATTTCAGATGTACTAATATCGGTTATTAGTTAATTAATGTTATCATCAAAATCTTCAGTTAATTCTGTTGGGTCTTTATTTGAAAGTCGTACTGTGTTAATGTAGTCTTTTTTTGGTTAATTTTTCATCCAAAGTAATGATTTGTTTGAAGGGCTGAGGCAATACACTCCAATTACTGGATTTTCTGTCCTTCAGTATAATTACTGCCCAAGCTGCACCAAGCATGTACTTGTGTCTCAACATGTACTTTGATCTTCACTTCAACAGTGCAGGGCATCTCAATTTCTACACTGCACCAGAAAACATTGCATGCCCCTCATCCATTACACTTGGCCACTTTCTTTTCCCCTCATGATAGGTGTACCTGTTGTTCCTATTGCTTTTGCCCCTTTAGGCATTTGACAGCTTGGATTTCAAAAGAGATTTGCCCTTTTCTTTTAAAAACAAATGACATTTGGTTGTATTAGTGGCAAATCAAGGCTGGCAGTTCATTGACTTGAGAAAGCCAGATTTAGAGGGTAGATATGTCACTGGGGCCTAAGATTTTGCCATGTGAGAACACTTAAAGCCAACACCTAACTGTAAAACTCATACCTGTGTTAAATTCCTGATATAATACAATAATTCTTGCATTTGGAATAGAGCCTTTCACATCAGGAAGTCGTCTCTTCACAGGATACACAGTAAAGTGTAGTCATTGTGCATTTTGTAGATGAACAGGACAGCCCATTTGACATAGTAATGTCCTCCAAACAGCCATGAAGTGAATGACCATTTTTTTATGTGGGGAATTGTTGGCCAGGATCCCTGGGGACACCGTTAACGTCCTCCTGAACAGGCAGATAACCAATGTGCACTTTTGGGGTCACGACTAGTGCCTCAGAGTGGATTAACTGAACTTCGGTAAAATGGAATGCATCACCCCAGGGAGGGAATGCAAATTCCAGAACCGACCATGCTTTATGTTTTTCTGGTTGACAAAAAAGTTGTATCGTGTGCAATGAATTGTGTCTTACTGCTTCTCATGTTATCATTCACAGTCTCACCTGGTCGCTGCATTTGAACAGAGTTTAAGCAATATGACCTTACGACTGCAGAATCTAACCATGACGGCGGAGCAGAAGGTAGGTTCAAAGGTTGTACCATCATTCTTTTCATAAAACTAGTTTTTTTGTAGCAACTATATTTGCAATGTATTTTGTAATCTTAACTCATTTCATTTGCCATCAAATACATCAACAACAAAATTACATTTACAGAGCATTGGTATCCTTCAAGTCCCATGACCAAAGAGATTTTTTAAATAGATGAAAATATGTATTTTCTTAGGAAAAGAACGAAGGGAATGGAATTTCTCTGGTCGCTAACTAAAGCAACTTTGATTCTATGCTTAAAATTGGAAGATTGTATATCAAAAACTCTGTTGGAATTCTCTTTGATCAAATGGATTCAGAACTGCCTGTAAAAATAATGATTCGTCTCTGTGGGTTCAACAGAATCTGGACTTCATGTCCTTTACATAATACTTTTCAAGAGTTTTCTTGATAGACTGAAAGTAATGGTTTAAAAAGCAAATGTTTTTATCCAAGCCCTTTCCTGCAATGCAAGCCTCCAAATACATGATTGGATACCCCTGGAGAGTTTACAGGCCTTTTGTTTGGGTACTGTAGTTGATGGTTTTGAACAAATGGCAAAGCAATGCATTTATGTCTGTAAAATGGATAGTGAGGGCTATAATCTAATGGTTAAAAAAGAACAACATCTAAACATATTTGTACTGTTCAATCTGGGATTAATTTAGGATTTATTCAATTTCTTCCAAGGTACCAGCTAGACCTAAAGTAGTCTTTAGTACTTTGCTGAGGTTATTTTACTGTGTGAATAAAATGTTTGAATTGATTAAAAAGTTTATTAGCAAGAGGGGATTAAGAGACCGAAGCTGGAGTAAATGAAAAGTCCTACAAAGTGACTGAGAGATGCTCTGATGCCTTTGGTATCGCTGATTAAATTCTGCAACTGACAGCTATAATTGGCATGAAATTTAATGAAAAAAAAGGACCTTGAGAAAAATGTTTTGCAAGAAAAGTGATGTTGCTCAACATAGTGTAATCTCAAAGAGGCACTATCTTAAGAAAAAATGTTTACAAACACAAGAATGCAGTTTGTGTTGCAACACTCCAATGTACTGTGAAAACATCACTTTGCTTGAACTTGATGATAAAAAATTATATTTGGCTGTTTTCCCTGGTGAAAAGGAAAGATCAGGATGAACGGAACTAATGCCTCAAGCTTTCTTTTTATAGTTGACTCTTTCTTGTAGGAATCTGAATTAACTGAACTACGAGAGACTATCGGAAGTCTGAAAACACAAAATTCGGCAGCACAGGCAGCCATCCAGGGAGCACTGAACGGCCCCGATCATCACAGTAAAGGTACAAACTGAGCTTGTGCAGATACCAGTTTGTAGATCAGCAAAAACACTTACACAGGAGCAGGAGTAGGCTATTCAGCCCCTTGAACCTGTTCCGCCATTCTATAAGTTCATGGCTTTTGTGTACCTTAACTCCTATTACTCTCTATTGCCTGTGTTGTGAGGACTTTTATTAAAATGAATTGGGCTCCCATTTCCCTGACAACCCAACCTTGTTCTGAATGCCAAAATTGGATGCTTGAACATTTTACCTCCACTGTCATAATACTCAGGCTGAAACTGCACTCCCACTCAAATTGTTTCTTTACTTTTATAGCTGCTGATTTAATAAGATAGGTTTAAAATTATTCAGCACTTGTGTTTCCGTTGCAATTTGACAATTTGACAATTGCAACCCCTGCAATCTGTATTTACAGATTTCTGGCTTCATTTCAAAAAGCCTGTATATTTTGCAGTTCCTTGTGTTTCTATCTTGCTGTCATCTCTGTGATGTTTAGCCCCCGCAATGATTCCCACATTCTGTGATCAGATATTGACTTTCTTCTGACTGGGTGAGCTTGGTTCTTCCTCCAACGATTCCTTCTCTCTGAGTTCTTGATCTCAGAAGCCTTTTGATGTGTAATAATTATATTATATAATATCTCTCTCACAGAGATCTTTCAGTGGTTGGCTCCATCTCATTGAAATTATGCATCATTACCCCCACTCCCTAGTACTGCACTGCAGTGACAGCCTAGACTATGAAGTTGTGTCCTAATGTAGAGCTTGAACGCACAACCTTTTGACCCAGAGAAGAAAGTGTTGCAAGCTGAGCAAAACTACCTGAGCCGTCAGTGGATCATCTGAATAATTTTAACAGCTATTTAAGTTGCAGTGGTGAGCTAATTTTGGTTTGCATGTCTATTGTATGTAAACGCAGCTTTTGGCATACAGTTTGTGATGTTGCTCACCACAGCTTAGGGGAGGGATGGCCATTGAAGTAATCAGTAGAAGTATTATGAAAAGTATTGTAATGTCAGCTTTTAAATAGAAAATAAATATATTGTTCAGTTCAAGGGCTTGTCAACTCATCTTGTGTGTAAAATATAAATCTCTCTGTTCAATAGATTTGCGGATTAGAAGACAACATTCATCGGATAGTGTTTCAAGTATTAACAGTGCAACCAGCCATTCAAGTATTGGGAATGGGAATGATATAGAAGCCAAGAAAAAGAAAAAGAAACAGAGTTGGGTAGGTCTATTTCCTTTGTTGCTAGAAGTTCAGTGTCCTTAGGGAAAAATGTCCTAACCGAACTTTTGACAGTGGCGGAGTCTGACCTTGAGCCATGGGGAGAGGGAGGGGTAAAGTGACCACCAGTACGTTAAAAAAGAAAGTCTTTAAGCGGGATTGGGAAAACCAGCGAGGAGGACATTGAAATAGTCCAGCCGGGAAGGGACGGGGGGTTTGGCTGTGCAGTGTGACGGAGGCGGGCAGTGTGACGGAGGCGGGCAGTGTGACGGAGGTGGGCAGTGTACGGAGGTGGGCAGTGTGGCGGAAACAGAAAAAGATGGTCCTGGTCAGGGAATAGATGTTCTTCAAAATATTTGGTTTTAACTTGATACAATTAAAAATGTGACTACTTCTTTAGAAGAAGAACGATTGCTGGACCGGTTATAGTGGAGAAATGATGTTATTTTCCCATTAGCCTATTTTTCTTATCGATGAGAATTCATGAGCTCTTTCAAGATGATAGTAATCTTTTTACTCCAAAATAATAATAAGTAATAATGTAATAATAATAATCCTTGCATCTGATATAGCGCTTTTCACATCTTCTCGACGTCTCAAAGCAGGATTGAAGTGATAATTTCATCGTAACTTCACTATTATCTTCTGTTAGGCTTTCTCCACAGTGCACACACATTGTGTTTTTTGTTGGCAAGGTCTGAAAGTTCAGTTTAAAAGCAGAATAGATTTCATTGCATCATCCTTTGTTCCCATTCTTTTTTTCGTTACATTATCTTGTGGAAGAATTCAGTAATGGAGAATTCTCTCTCTGTCCCCATGTTTGTTACATTTTTACATTACTTTTCTAGAGTTTTATCTTATTTTAATTAATGCAAAAGCTATTTCTTTCCAAAGGGTTTTAATTAATATTAAGAATATTTATAAATTCTATTATTTTTAAAATAAATGATGCAATAGAATAGGTTTAAGAAATATTTCATCTTGTGACTTTTAATTCCTCCCCTTTTCATCACAACTACAAGGTGAACAATAAAGGAAGCAAGGTGACTATGCAATACACTTGACTGAGCATGTAATGTTTTAAGTGACCTTTTTATTCCAGCATGGTGTTCCCTTTATGAAAATTGATGCTTGATTCTAAGAAAGAATGGCTTATGCTGCTTTTATGCCTTCACCTGACCAGATCCTTTAATTACCAGTTTGCTTCAGTTGCAGTGAACTGAGGAGCTTGGTTGGGTTAAACATGGTCACACTCTTTGCTGCTTGTGTGCTCCTATTACTTACTAAGCAATATGCCTGTGCATATCTAGCCTTCTGCACTGGAGTGCTAATGTGAGACAGTTGAGGTAACTTTACTTACTCTGACAGGCATCTCACCGTGGCATTCTCTTCTGGTGGAGAATTGTCATCTTGTGTGTCAACCTAGCGCAGTGGCAGGACTCTCAAAGGTTAAGTCAGAAGGTTGTGGGTTCAAGCCCCAGGTCAGGACTTGGAATCACATAGTCTAAGATGACAATCCAATGCAGTGCTAATGGGGGTGTTGTATTTCAGAGATTTGTTTCTTTCGGATGAAACGTTAAACCGAGGTCCCATCTGCCTGTTCAGGTGGATGTTGACAGTTTAAATGATATTTGTGCAGCGTGTAGACATGATACTTGGTAAATGGGACTGAAAGGATTGCCCTTGATAGAGCCAGCACAGTCACGATGAGCTGAATGGCCTTCTTCTGTATTGTTTAAAAGTGACTGTTTTAAGTGATATTTAAGTGACAATAGGTGACTGAAACACCCCGCTACCACCCCATAGCTGCAATATAAAATGTCTCTTGAGATAAAGATACCAAACTGGAAGTTCCATTGGGTATTGGGCATGGTTTATCCTTGGAAATATTATGGCCTTTGGCACTCTGACACATACTGCACATTTTTTGTTGTTGACTTCTTTATGAACTTCTTTGACTGCAGATGGATTGCAAGTGTCTGGAACCACAAAACGTAATGCTCATATTAAAGTGCTTATTAGCTTATGCAAATGCTTCAACTCAAAGAAATTACAAATGCAAGCCGATTGATTTGCCCAGCATGATAGAACTATGCTCATTTTAATAATAAACTGTGAGATCCACTCAATATAGAACACCTGCTGGAATTAACAGATTTTATTTTAGATATCAATAATAGTTATTTTCTTTCATAAGGAATAGCAACTGCTGTAGGATGACCAGCTTTGGGGCTTCTGATTATAAATAGACTGTGTGTTAAGAGATGGTCTGTCGCTGACTGGCACCGGTGCAGTTGTTGGGCTCGCAATAATTTAACTCATTTGAAAAAGAAACCTTTTGCAGCATTGCATTTTACTTCCCTCCTTTGTCTTACTTTAAAACCACAGTACTTTATAGAATCTGTTATCACAAACAACTTATATCTGCTTGCAAAAAAAAACTGTTCAAAGACAAATTAAAGCATATTTTAAAATATTTCGGTAAAATATTCCTGCCTCGTGATTCTTATGTTTCTTATGTTGGCTTAAGATTTAAAACCTTTACTGTGATTTGCTATGAGGTACTGCAGTGTTAAACCAAGTTAACCAGATCTTCTACTTACTACACGGGTTTCTGAGTTGCTCAAATGCTGTATATTCCCATGCTGAGCTGAAGGCTGTTTCTTTGATGGGATCTGCAGATAGGCTGATTCAAAAGAATGTTTTACTATATATTTATGATGATGACCTTCAATCTTGACCTTTTTTTTTCAGCTAAGAAGTTCATTCAAGCAAGCATTTGGTAAAAAGAAGTCTTCAAAACCTAATCTCTCACACTCAGACATTGAAGAAATCACTGATTCATCTCTTCCATCATCACCAAAGCTGTATCATGGTTCAACAGACATCGGGTCTCTAGCTATGAAACCATCACAGTCTACCTCTGCGTAAGTATTTTGAGCATTCTGAGATGCTACCCTAACCCCCCCACCGCTCAGTAGGCCCCAGCCTGCTCCATGTCCCCACCTGGCCTGCCCCACCATTGACGGTCAGGCTTTCAACCTTTCTGCCCCCACCCTTTCAAACTCCATCCCACAGTCCTTTCACCTCACCCCCTCTCTTGCCTCCTTCAAGACCCATTCAAGACTGTCCTCTTTGACCACATCTTCGTTTACTCCCTTTCCCCTCCCCTCATCTCTTCTGATCCTAACCCCCAGCTCGGGTCCAAATTCCTTGACTGCCCAGCACCTTGGGAAGTCCTCCTGACGTGAAAGGCACAACACAAATGTAATTTATTGTTGTTGTTGCATAAAGCTGTTTGTTTGAGAACATGGTTAGAATCTTTTATTTTTAAATGATTATAGTCAGTTAATGACCGAATATGCCCTTAGGTCTAAACCTGGTGAAATATTTTCAAACAGGAAGATGTTGATTGTCAAGTGTGTAGCCCATGTGTGTTCATTAATGTATTTCATTCATAGCCTGGTTTTGGTAATAATTCTAGCTATTGAACTCGCATGTGGTGCTGTGAATACTCACTCCGTTTTTCTATCTACCTTCTTACTTGTTTTCCTATGCTCCTTATCCTTATCAATCCATTGTCCAATGTTTTTCCCCATATGTTGGTGTGGCTGTCTGGGCAGTAGGTTTGAGTGTAATGCCAGTGGAGGCAAACCAGCCTCACTGTGGGTGACAAGAAAACAACTAAATGGCCATGTGTTCTTCATTCACAAATCTCGGTAAACTGCTGTATGCTGCATGTCCTAGAATTTAGTGCAGTGGAATGCATTGGTTGTTGCTTTTTACAGTTGGATTCTACAAGTAGGAGTCTGCACTTTCTAATGCTTAAACTTAAGCTGTTATCATTTGAACTCAGCATTAATCTATGTGATTGTCATCAACAACACTAAAATATTTGGGCCCAACTATTTTGCCAGAGTTGAAGAGGGAATTTTAATAACTATTGATTTTTTATTTTTATAACTTCGATTTTCTAATTACCATCAACTGAAAAATTAGTCACTGTGATGATTATCACGTTTTACATTTTTCATCTCCATGTTTAAATAACCCTCTCCTAGGAATAGTTTCTAACCTCCTCCTCAGTTATTCAAGAGATATTCCTGAATTCATACTCCGTGTTACAATTTTCCAAGCAGCAAGAATAATCATTTTTCAAAACCTTTCAGAATTTATAAGATCTTTCTTAATCTTCTCTATTCCATTAAAGATAACACAATTTTAGGTGTCCATCCTCAGGGCTTTGCCCTCTAGGTTTGCTTGCTGATACTATATATTTGTCAAAATTAAGTATTTTATTTGTGATCTTAAATGTTTTGATTTGCTTTGTAAAATTGGAAAGCTAACTGTGTTGCTTAATTTGTTAACCCAGTGTGTGTGAGTTTCTATTGAATTGGCTATGCAGGTCACCACTCACAAATCATTGTGATATTCCTGGTGATCTAGAGCTAGAGATGCTGGCAGTTGTTGCTTTGTTTTTTGACCAAGACTGATGCTTTCACAGCTCTGCCATTCATTGCTGTTACCTTATGAAATTTAGTCCGCCAACTTAATTTCATGTGGGCATCAGATTTAAGTAACTGTCCTTCAGAAAGCATAATGAGCAAGGATCTTTTTTTAAAAAAAAATGGTATTTATTGTATTATCTTAGCTAATTGGATTGTGTTTCTAATCACATTATGGATCCCTACTTTTTTTTGAAGTTCTGGTTGGTTGTTGTGAAGTAATAAGACTAGAAACCATTTTGCCTACAAAATACACAGTCACTACTGTATTTACAGTAAATCCTATTGACATCCACCTGACATGAAATATGCTATATTAAATGTATCAAATGCATGGGTTATTATCACTAATCATAAATGGTACACACACATTAATTATAAAAGCAGAATATTTATGATGGACTTTTTCCAATTCTCAGGATGTCTCCAATAATACAAATGTATAAGTTGTCATTTGAAGTCCAAACAGTTATTTATTTGATTTTATATCTACTGGATCAGTCAGTGGCTTAGTTATGGATATCGTCTGTTTTGCCTTCATCAAAACACACAGGCATTGCTGGGATTAAGTGTAAGACCTCACAAGATCCAAATGATAACTTAACACTTCAGACCAGAGAAAATATGAATTGAGAGGGAAAGAAAATTGTGTCATTGATCTCAAGCTTCCACCTGATCAAATAGAATTTGCACTGTTTTCAGCCCTGATATCACTTCTATGAAAAAAGCTTTTGAAACATTTTACCAGTCCCCTGAAATCAATTAAGTGAAAATGAAAGGATATCAATATAACATTCTCCAACTCTGGTTCCATTCCACAATTATATATCAATACTCCCAATAGAACTGAAACCATTGTATTCTATTATAAGTCTTTGAACACCCTGTCAATACTTCACACTATCATTTTCACTAGTTTATACAATCAATTTTTTGCCCAGAACCTCTTTGTTGAAAGATCTGTAGTAAGTCAGTTTGTATTAACCTGGTACAGCAATTGACCTCTTTAGAATAAATTTGGAATTAACCTGGTGCAACAGAATTTTTGAATCATATTTTATGAAGATTAACCCTAACAGGTGAGTTAACTAGCAATTACATGCTGTACATTCTTTGTAAAACATTTTCTTTGTAATAAATCTTCTATTTAGTTTTTATTTCTGAAGTCCACCTTACTTAGCTTTATTAACAACAAATCTGCCTTTTATTTATTTCAACATTCTTCAATGATACTTTTTCCACTTCTTTTTCTGCATGTTTTCCTAACATGACGTAGATTTTTTTTTAATTTGCTTTACTACTTTAGAATCTGTGAGTGCACAGAATCTGAGGCGGAAACAATTGTTCACCTTAAGAATGAGCTGAGAGAGAAGGAACTTAAGCTGACAGACATCCGTTTAGAGGCACTGAGCTCAGCACATCATCTCGATCAAATCCGGGAAGCTATGAATAGAATGCAGGTAATGATATATTTTCCTATTTTCAATTCATGCTAGGGTGTTTTGCATTATTGAGGTGCCGTCCTTCAGAAGACATGTTCAACAAGGTCCTGTCTGCCTGTTCAGGTGGACGTTAAAGATCCCATGACACTATTGCAAAAAAGAAGGGAGTTTATCTTGATTTCCTGGCCAACAATCCTCCAAATAAAATGATCATTAACTTTAAGGCAGTTTGTGGAACATCGCTGTAGACACCTCTAAATACACATTCACTAAACTTTACAGTATATCCTGTGTAGAGCTTTGAGATGTTCTTCAGATGTGAAAGGCATTATATCAAATATAAGAATTATTATTATTTATGTAAGATAATTGATAGTGTCCGAGAGAATGTTGGTGGGAAACCACTTATGTTGGTGGTAAACACAGCCTCAAACAACAGGAGCGACACTCAATTTAATGCCTGCTCTGGTGCTATTGTCGGGAGCAAACCACTCGCTAAATGTGAATTATTGTGCAAAAGATTTCTCAAAGAAAATTTCAAACTGGATTTATTCATTTGTTATCACCCGTTGGATCATTTTCTAACGACTGGGTACAAAGCACGAGCCTGGCAATCAGAATGAGCAGCTTGTGGTTAGGGGCAGGGGTGCGTAGTGTTCAGTTGAGGCACAGAAACTGCGTAGTATGCTGAGAGCAGATGATATGTTCGAAACACTGTGTCCCTCAAAATGATATAGTCGTTCAGCATTAATTCTTCACACATGCACAGGTAATAAATTGGGTTATCCTTCAACCTCCTCCTCCAGGTGCCACCACACAGACCGCTCCTCAGTCAGGACAGCTTGATGAGGTCCCCTAGGCTACTGTCAGTGCCACTCAGGACAGGACAGGGGCCACGGCAACTCACAAGCTGTGTTCTAATTGAGGAAGTTATTGGTCTGCTCTCCCGCTAATGTCCCAGCTCAGATCAGGAACTCACTAAGTGTGGATGGTGGCTGGAAGCCCATCATATCATTGCTGTATGCAATTGGCTGCCGCGTTTCTCCCACAAAATACACAGTCAATCCACTTCACAGTATATTCTGTGCAGCTCCTTGAGATGTCGCAACGATGTAATGAGGTGCTGTATCAAATGCAAGGATTATTATTATGATTACACCACACTACTCAGGTACAGCACGTTAGTTCATCTTCCAGCGAGAGAGTAATGTTTTCAATCAGTACTTAAAGTTGGAATATAAGTAGTTATTCCAAATGTATCTTTCTGCAGAATGAGATTGAGTTGTTGAAAGCTGAAAATGATCGTCTGAAGACGGAGACGGGGAGCACTGTAGGAGCAGCCCGTACACAGTCCTCAGCTTCATCTTCCTCGTCCTCATCCCGACAATCTTTGGGACTTTCACTACACAATCTCAATGTCACAGAAGCTGTAACCTCAGGTATGGAAATCACTGCTGTTTAATTATTTGCTTGAATGTTTGCTTTACATATCTCTTCTCCCCTCCCTCCCCACTCTTATAGGTGTTCTATTGATAACCTGCTACTCTTTAATTTTGATCATTGGCTTCAAAGTGCAGTGTATTTCTGCTGTAACATTGTTATTCCTCACCTTGACTTTAGTGACTGGTGAAACTTGGGTTGGTTTTCTTGTGCTGCATAGCTCCAGTTAGTATGACTTTTGCATTATTAACAAAAACATCTTGGACATCCCCCATTTCTAGGATAAATCATTTTTTTGTAATCTTTTTGTAATCATAAAGCAATACCCTAGCATTACAGATGATTATCTCTCACACTCCTAGGCATGCATGTGTTTTATTATTAACACCCAGCCCCTTCCACAATAGTGTAAGCAATCAACTTTAACTAGACAATTTCCCTCTTACAACATATTACAATCCATGCCAGTACAGGTACCTTTGTCAGAGATAATAACCCACATTGGATTGTTTCTTTTGCAGATATTTTACTTGATGATGGAACTGATGGGTCTTTTCGCAAAGAAGGTTGCAGTGTTAGAATATTGATCTGTCTGAACAAACGGCTGAAACGAATAAAGGTAATGCAATGGGCATTGTTGTCCTAAGACAGCACCTCAGGACATCCTTCTGAAGTGAAAGGTGCTATCTAACTGTTTGTTTAGCTTGTTTAGTGTAAAAGCAAAATCTCTACTGGTTTGAGACTATATTTATTTATTTATTTAGCAATGTTGTTGGTTAAAATGATAATGCAGCAAAGTACATCTATAATCTCTTTGCAAAAGATTAACAATCTGGAGGTTTTAATTTACATTTGGGGTTCAGGGAACATCCTTGCAAAGCATTATTTTTCCCAGGAGGTAGAGTAGTTGAAAGAAATCAATGTCAGTGTATGATTTGTGTGTTCTGTGGCAGGTATGGGCTTGATGGCCATTTCTTATCCTAAGGTTTCTGTGTTTTTAATTAGACGTTTAATAATTCTATTGCTGCTTCCACATATTTGCCTACAAAATACACTGTCATTATACTTTAAATTATATTGTGTAAAACACTTTGAGACGTCCTCCCGACAAAAAGGCACGATATCAAATGTAAAGATTATTATTTTCTTTAGGATTACTTTGTGAACTGTGGTTGTGAGCTGGGGAATCTGAAGCTGCAGACTCTCTCATGTATGCACACACACTCGCATTCATTCACGTTCCGTCTTAAAGCTGTAAAATTAGTTTGTAATACTGTGTTGTTATTTCCTTTTAAGGATGAAAAGACTCCTCAGTATCTGATAGGGTCCATAGGAGTTAGTGGAAAGACAAAGTGGGACGTTCTCGATGGTGTCATTCGCCGTTTGTTTAAGGTAGGCAGCTCCGTTCAGGTATAAGTCGGTTTGCATTTCACGCTGTTCTTCTTGATGTTACACTGGCATTTCTCAGAAGAAAACAGAAGTACTTTCTGTGTATAGGTGATCTGCTTTGCTGTTTGTACTCACATGGAGTGTGAGATAGCACAGTGTGAGATAGACAGACATTTACTCTTTTTATTTTAATAGTCCTGAAGGAATATGGGGGTATAAAAAGTGGTGTTCCTCGGGCACTCCTCAACTTACTGAACAAACATTTTAAACCAAACCACCAGATGTCGCCCCTTTCCGGGTTAGGATTCGGTTTCTCCGAGTGCACCATTTTGCGTGGCTCGGAGGTGAGGTGTTTTATTTTATAAATGTTACTTTTTAAAATTGTTCTCCAGGCTCTTTTACTTTGTTTAATATTGTTTTCTAAGGTTGCTCTGTCTAGAAGGAGCAAAAGCCATTCTCTCCTGGGCCAAAAAAAAATCATTTTTTAGGAATCAGGTGGACAAGGCCTGAATGAGCCACAGAACTGATCACTAAATGTAAATCTATTAGGGCCACTTACCTGGAGAGAATGCTTTAAGGAATGTCACTCATTTTAACCTATTTCACTCACTTTTGTGTCACACACTGATGCCTGGAGCGAGAGGTCAGGTCAGTCCAGTGCTTAAGAGAAGCAAAGGCCATCTCTCTCCTTTCTCTTATAGGGTAGTGCCTGACTTCAATGGCCCTCTCAGACGCTACCCTATATTAATGCAAATTGTTGTTGTGATGATTGAAATGATTTTCCTTGCTGGGGCGTTGCAAACCAGAAAATAAATATTCTGGAAGGATGAGGTGAAATGGGCCAAATCAAAAGACCTCCATCAAAATCTGTCAAATTGTAAAGTTTTCCTATCTGTTTTTTTCATACTTTGACAACATAGGAGTATATTTTCCGCCTGGATCCTACCACGAGTCTGGGGCTGACATCGGACAGTATTGTCAGCTACAACATAGGTGATATTGTTAGAGCCAGTAATCTAGAGGTGCCTGAGCTACTACCTTGTGGATATCTAGTGGGAGAAAGCAATGTCATCACTGTGAATCTTAAAGGTAAAGAAGGTTTCTTTGGGGATATGGTTATGGTCTTGAATTAATGTTTTTATAATTTAAACAACTGTAAATGGACAATTACCCAATAGAAATAAACATTAACAGCTCTTAACTTTGGTGCGATCAATTTTGATTGCATTGAGTGCTTTGAGACATCTCAACGACGTGATAAGGCGCTAAATCAAATGCAAGGATTATAATTATTATTAATATTATTGTTATATCGATATCATTCTGAGAATCGTTCTCTTTCGTAGGTGTGGCAGAAAATAGTGTGGACAGTTTTGTATTTGAAACTTTGATCCCAAAACCCTTAACGCACCGTTACCTCAATCTCCTGCTGGAACATCGAAGAATCATACTCTCTGGACCAAGCGGTACAGGCAAAACCTATCTCGCCAATAGACTTGCTGAATTCCTGATTTATAAATCAGGAAGAGATATCACTGAGGGAGCGGTGGCTACATTTAACGTAGACCACAAATCTAGCAAGGTAAGAAAATGTCCAGACCTTACAACACATTCCCATTTTGGCCTGCAGAAATTGAGATTGCGAACCGTTGAGATTGTGCAACAAATTATTTACCGGTTACATTTTTGACGATGACTGTGGTCGATGACGCTAAATGTGTAAATGTGTTCATAATATTTTAAGGAGCTGCGTCAATACCTGTCGAACTTGGCTGATCAGTGCAGTGCTGAAGATAATGGATCTGACCTTCCTTTAGTAATCATCCTTGATAATCTTCATCACGTTGGGTCTTTAAGTGACATCTTCAATGGGTTCCTCAATTGTCGGTATCACAAGTGGTAAGTCAAACTGTTCTTAACAGGCCCTAACTGATCAGAATAATGTCCTGAACATACCCAAGCAAAACCTTTCAGCTCGCATTAGTTCTTTTGATATTAAGTCAAAGTATTTTATTTCAATGCTGGAATTTCATTAGGTCAGCAACAAGAGAACGTACCTGATCTAGAATTGAGCTTTGATTGATGTTTCATACAAATAGAGAAGATCAGAATATTTCTGCAGTTATCTGGTTCAGATCAGTTCGGGCACATTGGTTCAAGTGCTCCAAACCCTTAGTGCTTGTCTGAAACCCATATGTTGTTAAGCCATCCTAAACTGTGATTTAGTTGATAATGTTCAACCCCAAGTGTAGTGTTGACTAATTGAGTCTGTCTGGAAGACTGAAGGGCTTGGATGCCTTCCCAGCTCTCAATACACAGTCATTACAACAACAATTTGCATTAAAGCAGGGTAGGATCTCTGAGCACTACACTTTACAGTAAATTTTGTAAAGTGCTTCGACCTGTCTTCCTAATGCGAAAGGCGCTATATCAAATGCAAAGATAATGATGATTATAAATCATTAAGGTGTTCCTTGATTTACAAAGACCATTTGCTTGTATGTTCATCGTTGCTGGAGTTTATTTGGCAAATTGATTGATGCAGCACTAAACTCCAATGTAATTGTTTTTTTTACCCTTTGCTGTGTTTTCTATTTATCGTAAAATTAGATTAGCCACACTGCTCCCATGTTTTATATGCAATGAGAGGTCCGGGTTCAGGTCATTCTTTTGTCTCTGGCAATTGGGGTTGATTTTAAGGGAGTCCATTGTACTTGAACACATTCAACCTGTTTAAAAATGACGCATGTGTAATTTATGTGTTGTACTTTTTTAAATGAATTCCTGCAGTCCATATGTTATTGGAACAATGAACCAAGCTGTGTCTTCTTCTCCCAACTTGGAGCTCCACCACAACTTCAGGTACATGCATTTTTTATCTCCATAAAGTCTGGCACTGAATATTGAGATCCCCAAATATTTATTCTCAGAAGTATCATTGCACAAGTGTGAAGCAATGGTCTTAACTACTGTGATAGAAAGGTTCCCCCCCTTATGTTTTAGAGACAAAGCCACGTGTGACTTGAGTATTGGAATCACCTGTTTTAGAAGTTTAGAAAAGAATGTTTTGATGCAGTTTGGATTTTATGTAGGTTACACATCACCACTTTAGAAAGAGTTAACACAATTGCAATTATGTGTCGGGTGAATTAATATAGCTGCACATATGTACACGGATGTTAGATGTATTAAAGCTCAGGCATGCCTGTGTGTGTATATGGATGTTTGGTATAATAACTCAGGCATGGCTGTGTGTGTGTGTGCGCGCACTGTGTGTGTCTATATGGATGTTTGATGTATAAAGCTCAAACAGGGCTGTGATGGCCCTGTAATGAAACAGCCTACTTGAAAAACGACTGTTAATACAAAATGATCACCAGCCATCCATGGAATTGTACGCTAACTCATTGCCTTGAGGGCGAACATTGGAGGGAAGCAATTAAAATAAGGACGACATTTAATTCTCGTCAGAATTCACTATTCTACTTCTTCACTAAAGCTCCCTGTGTCACAACATAAAGGCAATGTTTACTCCTTTGGGGATAAATGCACAATGTCCTATGATGCTCAGCTATCCAGACCAAGTTGGATCTCTCATCTCTGCTGAGTTAACTGGTCTCAGCAATTGGCTGTCCTTCAATTGGCAGTGTCTAAAGGTGTTGCCTTGCATCTGAAATGGGCAGGACCTAAGCAATGGGTGTCAGCAGGCTTTGACTGTGGGTGTATCACAACTTTTAGCAAAGAAGGGCAAACAATTGTGAAAAGTGACAGCAATATTAATGTTCCTTTAATCCTGAACAGAAGATAATCTCAAACTGCTTGTTTTTTCTCTGTCTAGGTGGGTACTTTGTGCCAATCATACTGAACCAGTGAAAGGGTTTTTGGGTCGGTACCTACGCCGTAAACTGATTGAAACTGAAATTGACAAAAATATGCGCAATAGTGACCTCATTAGGATTATTGACTGGATTCCTAAAGTCTGGCAGCATTTAAACAACTTTTTAGAAATGCACAGTTCATCTGATGTGACAATTGGTAAGTTCTGCTGCAGATTAATTCCACAATAACCCAATTTTTACTGCTTCATCAGTAGATGGATTTGTGAATTATTTTATATAACCTGATTTATTACTTGCTGCTACCTCAGGTCCACGCCTCTTCCTATCATGCCCTTTGGATGTTGATGGCTCAAGGGTTTGGTTCACAGACCTGTGGAACTATTCTCTCATACCGTACCTTCTGGAAGCAGTTCGAGAGGGTCTCCAGGTAACTTATTTTAGAAATTGCATCTTCTTTATACCACACCTCTGCTTCTGCTGTACACCACATACTGGAATACTAAAGCCATATTGCTGCAATGGTACTAATGTTACAATGTCTGGATGTGAACTTCTTCAAATTCCTTGAAAAGCCTTGAAATTCTTGGTCCTGCACAGATTGGGAAGTGTGACAAGAATTTTACAATGAATGGACATGATGTGGTATAACTTTCAGTTCAGTCAGGTACCGGTGCTATGTAGACACCAGGGATCACCTCTTTGACCGTGCTTTCGATCATCTTTTCCCTCCCCACTACCCTCGTCTAATATCCCCATCCCAATCAGCAATGTCAAGCACTTTGAGATGTCCTCCTAACATGAAAGGCACCATATAAATATAAATCGAATTGTATTTATCTTGCACTGATAAATACAAATAGCTGTGTCTTTATTACAGCAAATTACACCACTTTATTATAGCAAATTATTTAGCATAAGATAGACCACAGATTTGCACATATACTGCACTCAATTTTTCTATTCTGACTGTATTCAAACATAATGGTCTATTAACCAGTTTGGCCTGCTGCTTTAAAACAAGAGTCTTTTTACGATTCAAGATAGTTACAATTCAAGAAAAAGGATAATAAAGGAAAACAAAAATTGAGGAGGTTAAAGGAATTCAGAACCTTTCACAAAACTGTAGAAGTACACAAGAAGCTGGAGAAGCATGCTCAAATTTGGCAAATTGTTGAATCCTTTCTTAACTTTTAAAGCCGTTTTTTCTCTTATTTCTTAAAATCAGCTTTGAAATCAAGATTGTATTTTAAAAATTTGCCAGGACCATAACAGAGGAGATAAAAAAAAAATCGATTTCATGGTGATTTAACAAGAAAAGCTTCTGTTATAACTTTGGATCATAATGGGTGGAATTATTTGTTTAAACTGACAATGTACAAATTAGTAAGTTAAACTTGTCATTCCCACCACCTTTCAGCTATATGGCAAAAGAGCTGCTTGGGAGGATCCTGCTAGGTGGGTGGTGGATGCCTATCCTTGGTGCTCAGGGTCGTTGCAACACGAATGGCCATCCTTACTACAGCTGCGACCTGAAGACGTAGGCTATGAAGGCTACACCTCTGTGAAGGAGGGAGGATCCTCGAAGCATGTTGCACAGAGCGACTCCGAGGGAGATCCACTGGTAAGATCTACAACGATGGGATGAAAATTTGCAACCCTGCCATCCGTGTGTTCATTCCCATTTTTTCTTTTTCCCCATGACTTCACAATTTTTGCATTTAGATAACTTTAAGCTGCCTTAACGGGAAATCACAGCCATCAGGACTTCAGGCAATATTCGAAAGGAGCAGAAAGTGCAGCTTCAAATTCACATCAAGACTAAGAGGTGTTATACTCCAGGCTCCGAGAAAGCATTACAATGATATGGGGAATGTGCATAACTGCAGGGAGGAAGCCTTGGGCTGTTCTGTTTCTTTTCTGCTTTGTTGGCAATATCTCCTACAGTTTTCACACATCTCAATCACTTGTCAAAAGACCGTGATTTCACTTAACACTTTAACTGACACAGGCCCATCGCACTTAACTTACAATTTTTAAAGCTGAATATTTTCCAGATTTTTTTTTTTCTCTTTCAATTTTCTTTTCTCTCTTCTGCCCCTGAAGGGGTTTACCTCCTTCATCTTTCTAATGTTTCCCCAGGCATCCTTTGCTACCTCGATCAAGTGCTCATTCATCTTGTGTGAGCCTGCCAATGAGTAGCGGCAGGCTAGGGAATAGCAAGGGCATCGTAGCTGAGTCCATATGTTGCTTGTACCTGACATCAAACGTATGCACTTCTGTTGGATTAACTCCAAAGTTTTAGGAGCAAAACCCTGGCTATTTGTCCCTAACACAGCAGTGCTGAAACCCGTGTGGCACTTCTGATACCACTCTGACTTAGGTCACCTAACTCAGCACAGACGAGGGATTGAATCTTAATAGAGTGGTGGAACAGGCTTGAGGGGCAGACTGGCCTACTCCTGTTCCCGTGTCCCTATGTTCCTAAGATTATATTGACTTGTGGGTAAGTACATGAATGGTTTCATTAATGTGAATTAGTGTGCAGATGGCATTCTAGACTGAAACAGCCATTACATGTGGTGCAGTCAGGAAATGTGTGAACACGGTGAAATTAACGTCTGTCGCTTCTTTCGACGACTCAGCAAACAGAGTTCTGGTCATCGAATGGGATATGCAAATTTGAACCACTCAGTCAATAGCTCAGCAGGAAGCTGGTGCAGTTATATCACTCAGAAATCTGGCCTGTTTCAGAGAATTGCGTACAAAATTTTGAAATTGAACAGTCCATTCTGCAAGTTTCTTCATGCTGACAGCAAAACATAAAATATGCTAAGTGAAGGGAGTGTTATTGTGGGGTCTGATATAATGACATGAAAAGGTGGGCATGTTTACAAAAGCTATTGAGCATTTTACCGTGTGTATTTCACATTACCATGCTTGAGAGAACATTGGTTGATAATTAGTCGTGCATAACATTTCTGTGTCTTTTCTGTCTAGATGAATATGCTGATGCGGCTCCAAGAAGCTGCCAATTACTCGAGCGCCCAAAGCTGTGACAGCGACAGCACCAGTCACCATGACGACATCTTAGATTCATCCTTGGAGTCGACTCTCTAAAGAATCAACAGGGTGGAAGATTATCAGGAGTCTTGTTAAACCAATCTACTGACCATGCAAAGCAAAACAGCTTAGCCCCACTGACTAGTTGATGGTGATCTGCTGTTTGTATGTAGGCAAGAGTTTTTCAGTTTCGAGGTCTGTTGTGGGGGGCAGGGGGTGGGTGGGGGTGTGGGGGGTGTGGGACGGGAGCTTAAATGTATTACGTTGAATGACATTCACATTTTAAGGGGCTGGAACAGAGCTTAATTTGTCAACCGTAAGAGACCCAAAACAAGAAGAGTATGTTGACGTTTATCTTCAAAACTACAAGTAATTGCACATGAATCAGCCAAAACTGGAATTTTTTGATAACTACAAAGTATTTACATCTGTAAATCTTATTTCATTTTTTTACAACGAGGTGCTGTGAGAATCGGAACAGTTACTCACTGTTTCTACCCCTGTCCTGAGCTCAGCTATATCTAAATGGTGCTGATCAAAACAACTGTAATAGTCTTTGGTTTACACCACTGCCCATTCCTTGATTCTCACAGCTTGTACACAATAAGCACAAGGGGCAATGTGCAATCACAGAGGCTCTGCTTTTATAGCGTTGAAAACGTGCCAGCTTTATCCGGCGCTGCTTGTCCAAAACTAAAGTACAACAGTAACTAAAGCTTGTGGTTGCACATTTTTTTTTACAGGCTTAATTTTATGGATTTCTAATGCTGTTTTTAAATTGCAGGTCTTTTAACTCTAAACAAAAGTTTCTTTGTCACCAAACCTAACATCCACTGATACAAATTGTAATGCAGATTTGTACCAATATTAGCTACGAAGAAGGGCTACAACAGGCTACAAAAGACTTTTCAGTAACAAAGTGGAGATGCTATTCATTATGGTGCTGACTCACTTGCCTTAGTCTTAACAGGTTACAAGAGTAAATGAAGACACTTAATGTTATTAGATGATTTGTATCTTGCACCACTGATACTGTACATCTTGATTTATGAATACCTAAGGAGAAATGAACAATTCCATATCTCTTTAGACCAGGACATTGGTAGAATAAGGTAGTGAAGAGCAGGGTACGCTGTAGTTTTTAGCTTTTATTTTGTGGATAAAAGGCAGCTCTGCCTATCCTAACAAACAAGCCTAAGTAACAAACCCACCTGTTATCATGTCTTGAGAAGTCTAGAAAGTACAGTAATAGAGAGAGTGGGTTTTTATTCAAGTTACCCAGCAGAGCTGGGAGCATTTGATAGAGCATGAGCACAAAATGTCTTACTGTATAGAACTTAGCATGTTTTTAGTGCATATGCAAGATTGAAATGTTTCTTTATGTTATAATGAATGAAGTAATGACCCAACCTCTAAGGGGACAGGGGAAGAATTGTCTTGTTTTATACATTATTCTGTTTTAATGATCACTTTATGGAATTTATTCATTTTTTTGTTTGATTTTTTTAAAATAAAGGTTGGTTTTGCACAAGTGTGGGAAGCTGTACAGTATATAAGAAAAAAAATGCCTTGCACAGTAACCGTTGTAATGCATTATTTGTGTACTACTTGTTGGTGTAAACATTTATTTCACTTGAATATGCTGGGATTTTGTAAACACTGTTGATAATCTTCGTTCAAACTGATGTGCTTTTGTCCAGTAAGTATGGTTGTTAGTGCTATGCAGAAGCGACATGCCCTCCCCGTGTTCTTCATTTTTAAACATGAGCCAGAAGTCCCAAACTGCCAACTCTTAATCTTCTGTCTAACTCTGACATCTAAATAACTTCCATTTGTTTTAGTCAACCTAGCACACAGTCCGTTGTCCTTTCTGTAATCCATCTCAGTAAGACTTTGAGGATTTTTGTGAAACAGTTGTCTGTAAACATTTTATATTCTGTACATTTTGATGTAACATACAATGTAAATAGGCAGAAACGATGACAACAATCATCTGAGAGTTTTGTAGTCTTTTTAAGGCCCTAACCTTTGAGTTAAGTATTTGGTGTAACCAGATTAATTGGCTGTCGTCGTTAATCTTGGTTTTAACTGTACCTCTAGCTTGTAAGCAGCTTGTACATGGTTTTCCAGACATGCACATTGTATCTGTCTAAATTATTACTTTACCATTAAAGTGACACTATTTATTGAATTAAGATTCTCTTTGGCATGTTTTTTTATGGATTTTATTCATGTTTTTACCTTGCGTGCAGCAGGATGCTACATAATTGCAACTTGTTATAAATTTGGATAAGGTCCGGTTGAATAAGGAGTTAAAAGGACTCTCTTTCAGATATGGGCTCCCTGTTTCACTGGTACTTGAGATTTTTTTTAATGCCATCATTAAGTAGTGTCAAAATCTCCAAAATGAAAGAACATAAGAATTTGCTAGGCGAAAGAAGACCAAGCTCTATCCAGTTCGCCTTCCACCATCCTGGCAGTCTCATGATATGTCGTGTCCCAAACTATATATTGTATCCCGAGATATTATTTCCTAACAGAAATCTATCCGATTTGTTCTTGAAAGAGTGAGAGGAGTGAGCTCTCAATTTCTGCATCACTGCCTGTGCTGTTTCCATACAGCAGTCTGTGTGCAGTGATGGCACCTGGCGTTACCCAGCATGTAATCTCTGGAGATTGGGATTCAGCCACCACCTCGATTCCGCTTTTTTTGTGTGGAGTAGAACAGACTCACAAACTCGCAAAATCATGAATTATTCACAAATTGGCGAGGAGGTGTCCCACTTTAACAGTGACGCACAAATAATTTATTTAAACCGTGCGTTTGGCACAGATGCTCACTGATCAGCTATTTCAGGGAGCTTGGTCAGTATGCAAAAAAATTGCTATATTGGTATTTAATTATATATTGAACATTTTTTTTAAGCAGAGAAATTGCTGCTTAAATATTGTGTAACAGTGCAGCTCTCACAAGGGCTGAGGCTGGAAACAATGAAAGCCCTGAAGCAGTTTCACAATCCGTGTCAAGCTTGCTCCTTTCACTTGCTGGTCCCTGCTTGTTATGCAAAAATGGAGGCAATGTTTCTTGCATGCACAGAACAGATGAAAGAACATCATCACCAGTCTTACAGCAGCTATTGGAATAAACTGATTTTTTTTTTTTGCACGAGTAATTTTACCAGTGGATTTCACATCCACAAAATCATTACCTTTGACAATACAAACCAATTGAGTCTCCTCTATACAGGATCAGACTCAGCACATTTCTCAAATTGACAAAAAAAAGTGCTTTAAAGTAAAACTAATCAAGCTGTGTGAATGATCGCCTGTCTTATGGTCTTTTTTTCACTCCAGCACCTCTGCAATGTGATTTGGATGAATAACTTCCTGGGTCACCCGCAGTTTACATCCCTGTTTTCAACGCACTTGGCTCATCTGTTACAGTATTCTTTTGCACAGTTTCTCCACAAATGTTCGTTCTTTCCTGCATAGATTTGCTCCTGAGTTAGAAGGTTGTGTGTTTGAGCCCCACATTGGGATTCTGAGCTCACAATCTAAGCTGAAGCTGCAGTACGGAGCTGGGGGACTGTCACACGTCAAGAGGTGCCGTCTTTCGGATGAGACATTCAACTAAGGTTGAATCTGCTCATCATGTGGACATTAATGATCCCATGGCACTGTTCGAAAAGGGAAAGGAGTTTCAGCCACTGTCCTGGCCAACAAACTCCCAAATGAAATTGGTCACTCACTCCATGGCTGTTTGTGGGACACTGCTGTGTGCAAATTGGTTGCCATGTTCTCCCACAAAATACACGGAGCTTGACAATACAATACGACTTTACGCCATATGCTGTGAAGTACTTTGAGATGTCTCGATGATGTGATAAGGGGCTATATCAAATGCAAAGATCATATAATTGTTTAGAGAGAATAAATGTTAACATGAAGTATTTAACCCCCTTATGTGTCTTGCAGTTTTGAAATTTAATAGATTTAGTAACACAGGAGGACAGGAGTGCTTTCCAGCCAATTAAAGCTTGTTCAACCGGTTTATTACATGAGTGTTAATCAACTGTTGGTAACAATTAGCTGGTGGAGCAATGCATTGTCAAAGGTGTGATCCTTCACATGGGACATTCAACCAAGGTCCGCCTGTTCAAGTGGATGTTAAAGATCCCATGGCACTATTCAAATAGAGCTTCTCCCAGGATCCAGCCCAACAATCATCCAGATAAGTTTGGTCATTTACTACATGGCTGTTTGTGTAGAAATTGGCTACTGCATTCACCTACAGATACACAGTGAAAGTTTCCTGAAAAATTGTGATGTTTTGAGACATCCTTGACATTATAGTTATTGTACCAAATGCAAGGATTACTATTTTAAGACATTACTATTTTAAACAAACAAAATTGGGTATTTCCAATGGCATAAGTGTTTTTGATGGGCACCGATTATGGTTTATGATATATAGAGATGGCCAACTTGCTTCCTGTGCGCTGGCCAGTTCCCACAATGAAAGAAGAACTGGTTGATTTCTGCTTCACCGAGTAACCGCCAATGACCCTTCCCTCCAATAGTGGGATCCATTAAAATGGGACTTGGCCTGAAAATCAAAACTAAGACCATTAGAAATGAAGTCGACAAAGCATTTCTTCACACACAGAGAGGTGAGGATGTGGAACTGTTACTGTAGAGATGGAATGAATAGAGATGTTTAAAAAAGAGAGATCGACAAATACTTGGGTAGTGGTCATTAAAAGAACGTGCCGAGTATAGGTGTGTCTGTGGTTTGAAAGGTTGAGATGCTATTGAGTGACTGTTCACTTCCTGTACCAGGAAAGTAGACAACAGATTCATCTCCCCATACTTATCTGTTAAAATAGCTTTACAGTACATCTGTGACTTTAATTCTTTATGGGGCTGCACACAAGCATGAGCTTTAAAAAAACTTGTCTAAAATGCTGTCTGTGCTGTCCGTGTTTCTTGATCACTGATGTCTGATAGTAAAGTTTGTAGGCCGAGTACTTGATGGTTTTTGCTGGAGTGCTTTATTTCATGAAATCAAAGATGACATCGAATTAAACAAGTCTGCTCTCATGTTATAGCAATCACAATATTTGCCTGAATGGTGGAACTTGCAATAAATGCCTGCCAAATATAGAAATCCCACAACAGATTGCAAGATGCAAATTAGTCCTCGGAGTT